AGAGGCCTATGTCCAGCAGTGGACTAGTATAGGCTGTTGATGTTGATGATGATGATGATGGGCCAGTATGTCCGTTATTAAATACTAAAAGGTAATAAGGCAATGAAGAAATAACAAGATAAAGAAAACCTAAGCTGAACATCTTATGTTTCTAATTACAATAGACGTTAAAGAACTCAGAGCTGAAAAATATTCTTCTCGTCACTAACTTCAGCGAACCTAAATGGATTTGGATAAATTAAAATGGCCAAAAAAACAATACGCGACCAGACCTAAAGCCAGTTTTTCGACTTTCCCATTATTTAATCAATTTATTGGTATTTTCATAAGCTAGGAGCGGATCCCACTTAACATAGAGGGATCATTTTGTGAACTCAGGAGGAGGGAATCATACAAAATAGACCCAGACCACGCAGCTCATGACTACCTGGATCCACCTTTGAAAGTAGCGTTCGCAAAATACCATCCATATCCCCAATAATATTAAACGATTTTTTTAATATGATAATAAAATTCTTGATGTTTTAAAGATTGTCGTGGTAAGCTTACAATTTAGCAAAGCTTTATTTTATAACAGTATTTTTCATGCATCTTAATTTCTATTCGATATTAAAATTTTAAAATATTACTGACAATAGAACACACGTCACACAAAGATTTATAGCCAGATAAACCTACCATAAAGTAATTTAATGTTTTTCGTTAATTTTTTACTTATAGAAATTCAAGTGAATCCATCAGTATCCACAGGCTTTTATAGTCCACTGCTGGACACAGGCCTCTCCTTAGAAAGGAGGTTTTGAATATCATCTTAAAATTCAATATTTTTATTTCACGAAAATGGTTACTACTTATTCGAAACGTCTCTTTTTTTAAATACAATTGAAATTCTAGACACAGAGTCACCTCAACATTAAGTTGCTTACTCAATTCAAAGGTCAATTTTCGTAATAAAAATTCCTTTAAAATTCAGTCTCTTTATCTCACAAATGTCATACCTAAAAAGTATTCTCGTAGTAAAGTGTTCAACATCCAACGTTGACTGTAATGTGATTATATCGTATTGTGGCCGAAAGTCGAATCGGTATTCTGCTAGTCTCAGTAAAACTTAACTAAAAGAATGCCTTTTAGGACATCTGTGAGATCGAGAGTAAATTCGAACTGAATTTAGAACGAATTTTTTAAAGTAAATTTACCTTCAGATAATACTGTTTGCCTGTGTTCATCTATAACCGCCCGTTTCTACCTATATTGTTGAGCCTTGTGAGAAGATATCAAGCAAAAAATCTTTTAAATCACCGGTTAGTAATAATAATCCAAACCCTGGTTAAGTCTTCTTAGTATTCGTTATTTTTTTTGTCATAGATAATTATATTTACTTACCTTATACTGACATTACATCTATACATCTGAAAACATCTAGAAATGTATGCAAAACAACTATCAAAAGGAAAAAACATGCATAGCGTCATGCGTTTTCTATGTAGCATATATAAAAAAACACATGTCACTTATTTGACAGAAACGGTGAGCCTTAAATATAATGGGATCGTGTAAAGTCTGAAATAAAACAATAGTCTATTCGCGTAAAAAAAATGTGATGCATCGATCAAGCCCCGCTAGCTGACCAATGAGATTCCAAGAAATCATCTTTTCGTTCGAAAACTTGGAACCTGATTGGTGGAACGAACAGACGGGTCACCTGTAAGTGTTTCCCGCCTACTATACCTTCATCTCAAAAGTCTCAAGTGTCAAAGAGTCTGGCCTTTAAAAAAAAACCTAATCTATTTAGTGATTGGTTTATGATTCGCTTATAATATGTAATTTAAGTGTTTCAAAACAAAATATATTAATAAAAAAGCGGAAATATGAGATCATAGTTTTTATTAAAAAAAAAAATGTAGGTTTGTCTATGAACAGCCAACCCAGTCTACGACATTCTATTCCATCGTTCATTTTTGTCGAAACTTCAAATATCTTGATTCATCAAAAGCATACAAGCAACTGGCACAGTGGTAAAATATATAGCTTTCATTAGCTTTTCCTTTTATTTCTGTAAAAGCCGAAAAGCTTGTGAATATTTCTTTTTATAAAAAATAATACTTACTTTGGCATTCCGCCTGAACAAGGGGGCTGAGACTTAGTGCCCATAATGCTGAAAATCCATGCTTGAATTAGTAAAAAAGGAAAAAACAAAACAATAAAAAAAAACTACACAGTTATCTAGACAGAAGAGGTTATACAGTAAAAAGAGATCCTGCAAATAACTGAGTGTAAAAAAAAACCTAGTTTATGTCTATAGACTGGTTGGCGGGTATTTAAACTAGAAAAAAAAACTAAAAGGAAACTACAACCAATACCATTTATAGCAATAATTTTGTCGTGTGTAAATACAGTTCTGTAATAAGAAGAAAACAGTTATTCACAGGATTAGGAAATGTTTGAGTGTATATATTGTTTTTTTAACACTTTTCAAGACTAAAAGTATTAGTATTACATGCAATTATTGCATTCCTTTTAACATTTAACACGCATTCCTGTGGGCACTCAAACAATACACATATGGAGTTGCGATAATATCGATACTTGTCCATCACTAGTATCGATGATCAATGAAATAACGTCACATGTATGCATTTTTTTTTGGATTCTAACTTGAAGAATCACGTTTCATACTTATTTATTGTTTGGAAATAATTGATGCTTGTATGAAAGTAATGTTTTGGCGGTGAATCTGAGTAGAAGTCATAAAATATGGAGAGCTCTGGTCCCATACACCAGACTATTGCGATGAAAAATACTACTGTCTTTTTTTTTATGGTAGAAGAGGGCAAACTAGCAGACGGGTCACCACCGCACATGGACACCTGCAACTCAATAGTCACACGTGTATTGCTGCCCTTGGAGTCCCTTCCGCTCGAGTCAGCGGGAGGGGGGATTTGGGCTCCCTTAACCTCACTCACTCAGTGAAAGGCAACGAAACAATTGCTTAACACCGTATCACTCCGGTCGAGCCGGCCCATTCGCGCCGAAGCATTGCTCTCTCACAGTAGATCTATGAATTTAATTACATAATTGATGGTTGTTCGGAAAACTGTCAGAAGGCCTAGTGCAGGTTTATTTCACATCACCTAGCTCTGGACAGCGAGCGCGTTCGGCGTTGCTATTGGAGAAGATTTCAGCGCGGGCCAATCGCAGCTCTGAACGCGGTCACCTTGACGATCGAGTAGAAGTGAAATAAACTCGAACTTAGCCCACTGTTTTCATAAAGTAATTTAAATAGCAAACTGACAGATGTCACTCTTGTTTATCGGTTAATGACGTAATCGATCTGGTTCATGTTTGCAGACACGTGATTACTTCAAGACTTTTTTTTAAATTGCTTCGTTATACTGGTTCTAAAACATTGCAATTAATCTTTTAATCACAACGTAACATTAATGTGTGATTGGTATTTATATTTTTTAAGTGTTGCCAGATCTCTAAAGTCAGATCGTACACATAGCGCTTGCTACATTTAAGATCCAATTTTTTTTTCTAAGCATCGGTAGTATTGTAAAGGTTTTATAAAAAATCTTTTATAACATTTATTTTCACGAACCCTGATCTTTTAGTATCCCCATTTGAATGTAATTGACTGGATAGATTCTTGTCCTCTCGATTTCACTTTGAATGCGACAAATCGCAGAGACAGAACGCCTTTGTTGAACCTCTCAACAAGATTAATCTGAGAGTTCAACAAGGCTATCAAGTTTGTGACCTATTATTCAAAGTTCGTAGTAGCGACGTATTATCAAAGTTTTATAATGTCAGACAGTAATTTTTAATTTCTTTTTCTGCATTTATCACTTTATGATTAAAAAGAGTCGTATTATTTTTGTGCATACAACATATTATCATGTCAAATGTCAGGTTAGTAGACTGATAATGTTTTATAAAATAATATGAGGATTCTGGATTATGCAGGAATAAAACCTTTTTTTTAATTACCATAACTTTTCTTACTTTTTTATGACTGACATGACATTTCCCGCCAAGATTGACATTTCTTTAGTAGCGTATGTAAGTTTATTTGATGAAGCCTCCTATCACAATATTAGTTTTATTAAAATGTGTCCAACTGTATATTCTTAGTTTCAAGAACATTATCAGTACTTTCTGACAATTATACATATAAGAAATCACATCGATCATCCAGAAATCGGAAGGTTACTGAGTTTAAATAATTCTCAATTCGTTTTATCATTTGTCATTTTTTTATTAACTTGCTGGAACAAGTTAATAGAAATTTATTTCTTTTTGGCCTTTTTTGGTCCTTGCCCACGGCTTTATTTTTTATTTTAACCGACTTATATTGAACCGTGTTATCCGGTTTTTCAGTTTTTGTGATAACCTTCATCACATATTGTATAATAAAAAATGATTTATTGCAACCAGGTCTTTTGGCGCAAGGTCTAAATCGGAACTAATAGAGGGACTTTAAAGCTTTCGGTCGTTATTTAGTGTGTAATTGTCCTTTATTCGTTTTTCAAACAATAATAGTACAGATATATTTTCCAACTTTTTAATTGTCTATAACTGGGTTTGGTTTAGGAAATTTAATGCAACTTTGACATGCAACATTAAAAATTAACGCGCCAGACATTAACAGCTAAATCAATGTTTACTGTATTTTATAAGTTATTCATTTTATAGTTTTCCTTTAAAGATAGTTTAAAATTATGTTTTTGTAAAATTATTTATATAACAATCTAGGACTCAGTCGAGTTGATGTCTTTGCGTATATTTTAATTTCATCAAAAAAGAAGCTTTTAAAAAAACCATTCTGGTTAACGTTCCGTTTTACTCAATAGCGTCATCGCAATTTTATTTTTAAATCATGACATAGTGATGTGACATTATCGATATCGATATTTTCGCATCTAATTACACAACACATAGCTACCGACAGGTATTCGAATACACAACATAGACTTGGTACTGATCACTTCGGCCATTACCAGTCCGGATGCAGGAGTTTGACTTCACTTGGTCCACGCCGAACCAGGACATGAGAAGAACTGGAAGAATAAAGATAACTTTAAAACACTTGCTAATAAATACATGTAAGTATAGGTTAACATGGTATAAAAAATCTATACTTATATTAAAATGTGAAAGTGAGTTTGTTTGGTACGTCTGCACGCCTAAACTGCTAAACCGATTTCAAAAAGTCTTTCACCGATGGATAGCTACAATATCAGCGAGGGTACTTTTACCGCGATAACCGACATACACGCGGGCGGAGTCACGATAAAACTTAGTATAGGTATAATATAACTACATAAATTATACTTTAATAAACAAACAAACTATCTAAGATTATATTGTCTATCATTTAGAGTCAACTTTTATACAGCGTGATGCAAAACCTACAGTGGACCCAGTAAATAACGTAGAACGGTAAACTTTTAATGTTTCAATATTGTTCTGAAATAGTCGATATAATTTCGTAAGAGACAGGAATGATGTGAATGAAGCTATGGGCATATAATACCCAGGATGTCGATGAATGTCATGATTTTTAAGACAATTTATTCTTCCTCCAAGCCTTTTTCCAAACTACGTTGGGGTTGGCTTTTATGATACGGCTGAACTGTTTTTTTACGCAGAGTGACTGCCAAGCACAGCTACAATCCAAATATTAGGCGATATCGAAGTTCTGTAGAAATACTGTTTTTGGACCTTTTAGGGTTCCAAATTCCCGTAACGATTGCCACAAATGTTCGTATGGCAACCAGGACCCTAACGTGCTCTCCGAGGCATGTCAAGACAATTTCTGAATAAAAGAAAATAAAAAAAATTGATACAAAAAAATGTTGTTGTGCACCTAAACCAGGAGAAATGTTTTCAAACCGAAAAAAATAGTCATCTATTTCTAGGTTACACATGTCAACACTGTATAGAACAACAAGAAAAAATACATAAATATTCATGACATTAATGACAACCGAAACTGACAGACTTGACACGTCATTCTTTTTCTTAAACTGTAAAGGCAACAGCGTCATTTTCAAGGCCTTCAGTGATACAGCACTTCCTAGCTTTTAGAATCTTTATATCAATCAACAGCCTTTAATAGTCTATAGATGCACATAAGCCTCTCCTTAGAAAGGAGGTTTTGGCCTGCTATACCACGCTGGCCAGACGTGTTGGTTTTCCTCCTCTTTGCAGTGCTGTTGTCCTGCGTAGTTTGCTCCCTTAGCCGGCTCTTATGACACCCTCGAGATGAATAAGGGTGATGACATTCCGTATTCTTAATCCGTCAAAACAAGGATATAGAAACATACGCAGCATACGTTTAAATAAAACAAAAACGACATATTAAATGCTTACATTTTGCGTCTATGAATTATTTTATTCTTACTTACGTAAGCCTGCTGCAGTATTACGTTAATCCGGACTTCCCGGCAACGGCAGAGTCATAGGCATGCGAGCGTGATTACCGTTAAAACCCCCCAATCAATCCGTATATCATTATTATTTTATTTTCTTTTAAAAACTTTATTAGAACGAATTTCCTTATTGCGTGTTTCACGCTCTGAGCGGATGGGAGACCGAAAAATGTTTAACAAGACTTTTTCGGGTTCTGTTCGTCGGGACATTTCGGGTAGCAAACGTCTATCAAAAAACGAAAGGAACTTTGTGCCGACCGGGTGTCCATAGACACTTTATATTTTAACAAGTTTATGTAATTTGTTTTAATTTTAAGTTACTTTTAAAGACTTAAAACTTTCTATATTGCTTGTAACTTTGTACGCTTGGTTGATGTTATTTTTTCACTGTCGTCTCCTGTACGTGTAGGAGTACACCGGCTTTATACCCCTTCAGTCAATTATTGTTTTATACCAACGACCCTTACTAATAAATAAGTATTCCTCTCCTACCATCGAGACCTCCTACCTACTTCAATGATGATGATGATGAGTTCAATATGAAAGGAAGAGTTGCTAAGACGTGGATACTTCCACGTCTTAGTAACTCTTCCTTTCACATTGAACTCTCAATTTTCTCATCTAATTCTTAAAGTGCCCGGTTGACAGCAATAAGCTTGTCCCCTATTAAATGGGATTAAAACTAAGTTTAATACACCTGTGCTTAATTCCGTGTGGTGACGGATTAAGAATACAGAGTGTCACCACCCCTATTCATCCCGTGGGTGTCGTAAAAGCCGACTAAGGGAGTAAACTACGCAGGACAACAGCACTCATAAGAGAAGGAAAACTTGAAACAAACCCTATACTAACCCGTCTGGCCAGCGTGGCCAAAACCTCCTTTCTAAGGAGAGCCCATGTCCAGCAGTGGACTAGTAAAAGATGTTGATTGATAACTTTTCGAGGTATATTGTCGTGTAAGTGTTTTTTACGGTGTAGGCAGCAAATGAGTAGACAGGTAACAAGTCATAACGAAACATCTGCTTAAAACCGGTTTTCTGTGGTATCATCCTAAAAAAATTGCTTTTTTTCTGCCCAGTCATTTGATTTTTAAATACATCAGAACTGCTGCTAAGCTGCTATTAGACATACCCTCCACCTGGAGTGAATTAATATTATTGGCACGCACGATGTCCAGTTGTACGCCTGTGACGTTACTTCTCATGTGAATTCATTTAGGCATTTATTTTAAGATTCTCACCCACATATTTCAATTTATTACGGAGTATATAAAATAATATTTTCGTATGTCACTGCGTCTGATACGATTATAATATTACTAGCTGACCCGCGCAACTTCGTCTGCGTCTCTCAATAGTAATAAATTTTCTCCGTTTTTGAAACATTCTTCATTGGTGCTCCGCTCCTATTGGTCTTAGCGTGATGATATATAGCCTATAGCCTTCCTCGATAAATGGGCTATCTAACACTGAAAGAATTTTTCAAATCGGACCAGTAGTTCCTGAGATTAGCGCGTTCAAACAAACAAACAAACAAACTCTTCAGCTTTATAATATTAGTATAGATATACCAGATTTTGCCTTCGGCTCCGATCGCGTATATGTCGGTTACCGTGGTAAAAAGTAACCTATATTACTCGCTGATAATGTAGCTTTCCATTGGTGAAAGAATTTTTAAAATCGGGTTAGTGGTTTAGACGTGGAAGCGTAACAAACAAACAAATTCACTTTCACATCATCACATCAAATTCGCCGTGATCTGAATTGAGAGCCTTGCTTCGGCAATAATGGATCTGCTCAAACGGAATGATGCTATGGCTTCACAGCACAATCATCATCAGTATCTCAGTCGAAAGACGTTCACTGCTGGACATAGGCCGTCCAAAAGGTTCGTCATAAGCACCGGTCTTGTCCGCATCAAACGGCTTCCCGCAACCTTCACCAGTTCGTACACTTTGTTGAGGTCAAGCACTTCTATCGTGTGAAGTGAGGGAGCTAACTGAAAGACCCTTGCGACTATCTGGGACTTGATAATGGTGACAACGCATTTGCATCTCAGATGTCCATGGTTGGTGTTAGGCTTTGACCTTTTGCCCGCGGCTTTGCTCCCGTTTATGTCGTTTATCGCGGTGAAGAGTAGCCTATGTCCTTCCTCAAAAATCAAACTGTCTTCATACCAAATTTCATTTAAATGGGTTTAGCGGTTATTGATTCCCCATACAAACTACCACCCGCATTTTCACACCCTTAAAGGTCGATTTCTGGGATGAAAACTATCCTATGTCCTTTCTCAGGACTTGAACTATCTCTATACCAAATTTCATCTAAATCGGTTGAGCGGTTTAAGCGTGAAGAAGTAACAGATAGACACACTTTCGCATTTATAATATTAGTATGGATTGTAGCCGAAAATTGCATCGGAAATCTGATAGTCTCAGTAATATTTTAATATTTTACTTCAAGAATACCTTTCCGTGTGGTGACGGATTAAGAATACAGAGTGTCACCACCCCTATTCATCCCGTGGGTGTTGTAAGAGCCGACTAAGGAAGCAAAATACGCAGGACAACAGCACTGCAGAGAGAAGCAAAACTCGAAACAAACCCTATACCAACCCGTCTGGCCAGCGTGGTATAGTAGGCCAAAACCTCCTTCCTAAGGAGAGGCCTATGTCCAGCAGTGGACTAGTAAAGGCTGTTGATGATGATGAATACCTTTTACGTCAGTTGCGAGATCGACAGTTGATCGGAACTGAATTTTGACCGAACTATTATTAAGAGAATTAGTCTTTACGGGAGCTTTCTGCTGGATCTCCGGAAGTCCTGCAGTGAACTACAATAGGTTGATTGATTGATTGATTAAAGCTGTGTTCCCATAAAATTGCGTATGCTTATAAAGATCTAAACCTAAGGTTTATATAGGGTTTGTGTCAAGTTTTCCTCCTCTTTGCAGTGCTGTTATCCTTTGTAGTTTGCTCCCTTAGTCGGCTCTTACGACACCCACGGGATGAATAGGAGTGGTGATCTCCACCTTAAGAAACCATGTCCTGCAGTGAACTACAATAGGTTGATTGATTGATTGATTAAAGCTGTGTTCCCATAACAATGGTATATAGATCTAAATCAGTTTAATGTAAATTTTTTTTCTAGAACACGATTTTTAATGGGGTGTCGTTAATTTTTAACTAGCGCTAAACATCTGTTGAGAAATAATCGTAATGAACCAAATGATGGTGTATTCTAGTTTTATTCTTGAATCATTCTTTTATCTTTTACTTTTAACCAAAAAGAAAGTATATATTTATTAATCTCAATAGTATAGTTCTATATGTATTAATGTTGATTACTTTAGAAGACTGCACGGATGGCGTAGTGGTTTAAGCGGTCGCCACGCCGCTTCCCAATGCGCCGAGTGTTGTGGGTTCAAACCCCTACATGGGACGATACTTTGTGTGATCCACAAATTGTTGTTCTGAGTCTGGGTGTTATTCCGTGTGGTGACGGATTAAGAATACGGAGTGTCACCACCCCAATTCATCCTGTGGGTGTCGTAAGAGGCGACTAAGGGAGCAAACTAAGCAAAACAACAGCACAAAGAGAAGAAAAACTTGAAACAAACCCTATACCAACCCGTCTGGCCAGCGTGGTATAGTAGGCCAAAACCTCCTTTCTAAGCAGAGGCATATGTCCAGCAGTGGACTATTAAAGGCTGTTGATGTGTGATGAAACTCATACTGCGCCCTCTGGATTCGGTTTAGGCTCCGTTAACTTACCTCACAAGTGGTGACGGATTAAAAATGTAATACGCACCAACCTATATTCACATTTCTGTCCTTTTTTCACGATTAAAAAGACAACTCCCGCGAATATATCCTGTGTCCGGGGCACTTTAAGTACATACATAAAACGGACATAAAGTACACTCAGACTTAGAACAATACTTTGTGAACCCACAACGCTCAGCGCAGTAGGAAGCGGCGTGACGACCGCTTAAACCACTACGCCTTCTGTATAGACCACGATTCAAGGAACGGATTAAAGATGTAACATATCAAAAGGTATAACAATTAGGATTCTAAATTTAAACAGACGGATTCGAATCCGACCGGATGCTGCGAAATCATTTCAATATCCCACGCCATCCGTACCATAGACAACGACAAAAAAATACACCATAATAAAAAAATCCATTTTGTAGTCTTCAAAACAACATAAAAGACAGTTGAAATCAATTTACTGTTTACAAATAGATCAAAGAGTTATTTTTACCCATTCACTGTCCAGTCTATTTTGGTTCACGGCGTATGCTTAACAGTGTCCAAAGTAACACTAACAGTGCCGTTTCAGGTCAGGTCAAGTTGGTTTAAGTTTATAAATAGATGGGTATTATATTTTTTCCCGTAAAACTTCTTTAAAGCTTGCTAGACAAATATGAATAAACAAGCTATTGCCCACGGATTCGCTTGCGTTAATATTTATTACTAGCTGGTGACTGCGAGTTCGTTCGAGTGGAGTTTGAAAAGCGCTTCCTTGGTGAGTTAGATTCCCGGACCAGGCAAAATTTTATAGGGTTTTTCTGAGAGAAAAATAGCCTAAGTTACTCCTTATATAGACAGGTACTTGGTAGTAAAATATTATCAAAATCGGTCCAGCCGTTTTGAAGATTACCCGGAACAAACTTACAGACAAAAAAATATTTAAAACTGGTCTTTAGGCATAGGTGTCGTGCAAATAACCGTGTGAGCATGAAAAAAACTATTATTTTGACATTACAAACAGACAATACAATTTTATTTCTTTGTATAGAGTATAAATTTCATGCTTTCCACTTCTATAGAACCGTTCATCCCTCATTTTACCCCCCTTGGGGGGGAAATTTCCAAAAATCCACTTCTAGTGGGTACTTGCAATATGAATAGAAACAGCTGCCAAAATGTCAAGTTTGTAGTCCTAGCGGATTAGGCTTTGCGTTGGTGAATCAGTCGGGGCAGGTAATCTATACTAATATTATAAAGCTGAAGAGTTTGTTTGTTTGTTTGTTTGAACACGCTAATCTCAGGAACTACTGGTCCGATTTGAAAAATTATTTCAGTGTTAGATAGCCCATTTATCGAGGAAGGCTATAGGCTATATATCATCACGCTAAGACCAATAGGAGCGGAGCACCAAAGAAGAATGTTTCAAAAACGGAGAAAATTTATTACTATTGAGAGACGCAGACGAAGTTGCGCGGGTCAGCTAGTTTTATATAATTAGAGTAGTATACTTGAAAAAAGCGCTAGGTAGTGGGTTTTGTTTTTTAATCCTCGACGCAAAAACGACGGGGTGCTATAAGTTTGAAGTGTCTGTGTGTGTGTGTGTGTCTGTAGCATCATAGCGCCCGAACGGATGAACCGATTTTCAATTCACAGATAGATACAATGGCACTATTAAATATACCAAATGTCGTTAGATTCGTCTCACTGTGAGAGTGACACTGGGGATATGAAAGTTATAAAAATTATCGTTGGTTTGTAAATTTTAAGATTTTTACACAGTCGGGCTTTTTGTTATCTTTTTAATAGTAGTAGTAGCCCCGTGGTGCTTCCCTGTTTAAAAGGGTGTATGCCCATTTTACTTCATTTTGTCTCCCGCTTTGCTAAGGAGGGAAGTGGATTTACTGTATTTCCAACTCCTCCAATTTTCTTCTGATTAATTTCGTTGCGGGTTCCAAGACAGTTTAATTTCTTCCTGGGACTTCCCGAGTGTCATAACTCGGTGTGTTCGTGGGTCACTGCTGTGGATCCTGGTGTACAGGAGTTACAGTGGTGGGCGTGTGGGTGGGATTAGTCCCAATAGTAGTAGCCCATGATGCTAAATGGGAGTTTACTCGAGCGTCATGGGGACCTATTGCATTTGAAAGATTAGGTAATAGAATGAATAAAAGTTATGAAATGTTTCCCCTTTAGCGGTGGTAAAAGCTTCTACAGGTTTTCAAAAATGTAATGTAGTTAATCCGCTGTCCGTTGTCCGTGTAGTGACGGATTAAGAATACGGAATGTCACTACCCCAATTCATCCCGTGGGTGTCGTAAGAGCCGACTAAGGGAGCAAACTACGCAGAGCAACAGTACGGCAAAGAGAAGGAAAACTTGACACAAACCCTATACCAACCCGTCTGGCCAGCGTGGTATAGTAGGCCAAAACCTCCTTTCTAAGGAGCGGCCTATGTCCAGCAGTGGACTATTAAAGGCTGTTGATGTGTGATGTGAATGTAGTTAATTTATGTGAGAACTCAAGAGAACTTTTCATATCGCGATACAGGATTAACAGTTACTCCGTAGTTCGGTGTGGCTTCGTTAGATGGCGCTGATGTATGATTTGGTTTCACTATACGTGGAAGTCGCCGCATGAGTATGGGTTCTTATTAAAATCATGTACTAGTATTTTCATTTATGTTTTAATTTATTTTTTTAATTTACCGTCAAATCAGAAAGCAAGCTTATGGTCTTCCTGATAGAGAATAGTGACAGCAGCCTCCATATTGGAATACTAGACACTGCAGGAATATTTAAAGTTCAAATCGAAGAACCACATTTCCTGGTCACTTGAAAAATCCAGGATAATTAGGGCTATCCAGAATTGGAGAATACGCAGAAGTATTCCTAATGAAAAGATCCTTTTTAGGGCTCCGTAGTCCTAACAAGGAACCTTTATAGATTCGTCTTGTCAGTTTGTCTTATCCGTGTGGTGACAGACGGATAGAAAGACGCATCATCATCAATCAACAGCCTTTACTAGTCCACTGCTGGACATAGGCCTCTCCTTACAGAGGAGGATTTGGTGTACTATACCACGCCTGCATGACGAGCAGTGCTGTTGACACTGTATGTCACTACCCCTATTCATCTCGTGGTATAATACTATAATAATACGAGATAGACTGTTGTCAGAGTTTTTAGGGCTCCAACTATCCTTAACGATTGCCACATATGTTCGCATGGCAACCAGGACCGACGACTTAACGTGCTCTCCGAGACACGGATGGGTCTCAATCTGTTAAGAATAGTCACCCATCCATAGACTGACCTGGCGAGGATTGGATTAACTTTGCAATGTGCTATGTAACCTTATTATGGTTGTTAATTCAACCAGCACAGAAAGCCAGAAGGTTAAATATCGTAACATGATTTCCCAAATATTTCTTTTTTTTTAATCGACCAGAAAATCAGTCAATGTTTTTTTATTTTACGAAATTATTCAAATATGAGAGATGATGATATAGGGGGGACAAAGGAGCAGAAGTGTCGCCTATTGATAAGTGACTACCGTTACCAATAGGCGTCTGCAAGTCACGAATTATGACCCCTCAACAGGGTCTTGAATAACCTCACTTATTTGACGAAATGCAGGCTCTAACTTATGACACTGATAGACGGATAGAAAGACGCATCATCATCAATCAACAGCCTTTACTAGTCCACTGCTAGACATAGGCCTCTCCTTAGAAAGGAGGTGGTCTCGCTGGCCAGACGGGTTGGTATAGAGTTTGTTTCAAGGTTTTCTTTCTCTTTGCAGTGCTGTTGTCATGCGTAGTTTGCTCCCTTAGTTGGCTCTCGGCCACGGGATGAATAGGGGTGGTGACACTCCGTATTTTTCATCCGTCACCACATGGATATGGTTCAAGTTATGAATTAATGAAATTAGACCGTCAGACGATGCCTTGTTATAATTATATCTTTCCAGATTAGCACAACACCTCAATTTGACGGATTGAGACTATTTAGAAATTAATTTAAGTGCTTTTGCTGCCAAAGGAGAAATAAAGCATTTTTTATTGGTTTATAAAAACTTAATTGCGTTCATTTATCGATTTACATATATATTTTTTTATATTTTCTATTTAATCAATCCTTATTACTAGAAAATCAGATAAGTATCGAATCATTTTTAAAATTTAATGCATTTTTCTTATCTTTTAAATAACAAAACGATATGGTATTTTGTAATTTCTATAAGAAAAATATAATGTATTTTTGGCTGAGCCCAACGTCTACTTTACGTTTACATATTTATTTTACCATAGATTAAACTTTACCCTTTAATAGGATCTACGGTCGTCCCATGTTTTTTTCATCTATACTAATATTATAAAGCTAAAGAGTTGAACGCACTAATCTCAGGAACTACTGGTCCGATTTGAAAAATCTTTTCATGTTAGATAGCCCAATTATCGAGGAAGGCTATAGGCTATATAACATCACGCTAAGACCAACAGGAGCAGAGCACCAATGAAGAATGTTGCGAAAAGGGGGAAAATTTATTCATTTTAAAACACAATATAAAAAGGAATTTTACGAAAATTGCTTAAATCCTCACCTGGCACAGGAAATATCCAGCGCATCATTTCAATTTTCGTCGACCCCTTCCTCCTCTCAAGTTCAGCTTCTTCTCTCCATTTCCACTTTATTTTAATCTTAAATATTATTAAATTATCAGTTCCTAGAACTAAATTTTTGTAAAAAAAAGAACTAGAGCTAGGCTAGGATAATAAGCTGTTTCAAATAACAGATTAAAAAAAAAACTTTTTTTAAACACATTTCGAAAACAGTAAGATTAGATGAGATATTTTTTATTACTTTTTTTTAAAGCCTATTTTGAAATATAGAATGTTAGTTTTTGACATTTGTTTAATTATCGCGAACTTTTTATATAACTAAAGATATTTTTTTTGGAATAAGTCTAGCGTTACGTCTGTTTTAACATTAAATCAACAAAGGATTTTCTTTGCCGGTTTTTTAATGCGACGAGAACAATACACTTACAATACAATAACTTTATAATAAATTGTCTATAAACAATATCTGTCTATATAACATAATGATATTAAAGAACGATTATGAAATAAAAACAAAAAGTATGGAGTAATTAGAAAAAGGGATAAAAAATATTTTGTTCTGTTTCTGTCAAAAATAGGTTTATATTATAATGAACTATTCTTTTATCTATGGAATTGTCTATCTTTTTAGATCAGTAAAACCATTTTATTTGTTATATCTGCAGGGCGAAGACTTCCTTTTTAAATATAAAATAAGATAGATTATTATAGGCAAAACTATGGACTATGGAAAATTTGCAATGACGTAATGTTTATATAACCAAAAAAATTAAGTTTTAGATGTTAAAATAATATTTAGTAGTAAAAAGTATGAATACGTAAAATTTGTCTTGATCAAAAAATATTAACGCCATCTATCGCTGTTCTAACAAAATAATCATATTTTTGTATTTTTTTTATTCTCTAAGTGTGGTAAAAAAATTAAGTCAATAACATTTTGACAGGTAAAAGGGCGGGAGTGATTTATTGCTTTGTGTTACGTATACTTAGGAATGTACTTAATACGCCACATTGCATTTTTTACATGTTTGTGAACATAATTTAATAAAGAATAATAAAAAGCATGTAAAAACAAAATAACGGCTCCGATGCAGTAGTAGGCCGTGGTGATATTTGTGTGTGAAACCTAAAAAATCTTACTACAGCCCTCGCCTCGGCACAATGCGCGGACATTATTGATTTTACGTACCGCTACATTCCATGCGATTATTATTTATCAAAAACACTAGTAACTTATTAAAATAAGTAACCACATACACACTTATGAAGCTTATTTAGTAATAAATCTACAATATTCATTGGAATAGCGCACATGTTCCATTTCAACCACTTTAAAAAAAATGTAAACATAGACATACATAGATGTTTTTTGAATTCTTTAAGCCGTATTATAGATGTTTAAATAAATAAAATGATGAGTTATCTCAATATTTAAAAAAAAAAATATCAACAATGTAGTTATTTATGAAAGAAAAACTGTTCACTATTACCTATTTACCGTATGTTATAAATATGTTTTATTCATAATTAAATGTGTGGTTTTTGGTATTTTTGCCGTTTTTAAAACGTTATACGTGAATAAAACGGGTTAGATTTCATTGTACGGGGGACACAACGTCCACTCAGCGCGCGGTCGACATACTGACGGGGATGCCAGATCACGTATTAAGGTTACGCAATGTCCGAAGTGGAAATAAATTTGACTGATTTAAATGAAATTCTTGCTATCACTGTAGTTTTCCCCCAAAATATGAACGGAAAATTATTCAAGAGAATATAATAGAAGTATAGAGAGATTGAGAAGTATATGAAGCAGGCCGAGGCTTAATAAAACGTGATCCACTGGTACAAAATGGCGCAGTGGTTGGATAATAGCGACAAAACGTAAAAAGGGATATGATTTTAATCCTTTTGAGAGATGTATTCAAAAAGAGTTAAGGGGATAAGAAGATTAGAAAGATTATTAGGATCATTTTTTTTTAAATAAGAGCAAGTATGTTGAAATCACACATGATATTGCATGAATATTGGCTTGAATAAATGTTTTAGCAGTTTTCAATATTTTTTATAAAAATACTGTTTTTCTAAATAACGACTTAAGACGTTGATGTCGCAGATTCGCAGAACCAGTACTGCAAGTAAAAATACTTCGTCGTGTGTTGCATTGGTACTATATGTATACTATTTAGGGCAAATTTTACAAAAAAAATAATGAATTTCTAGATGAAAGGGAAAAACAGAAACTAAAACTTATACTTAGCGTTACAAAACTTTGCTGTGGATTTTTTATTTAAATACTTGCATGCTTCCTTTTCTCTAGCCTCAGTAGATAAACTAAAGCTTCCATGCATTATAATGATATTAAATTGTAGTTCAAAACATTAAACGTAAACGTTCGCACCGCTCTCTCTCTTGACTCTAGAGTAATATACGAAACATAACTCTCTCTCTTTCTGTCTTCACTAACTTATATCTCCCTCTCAACTTTCGTTCACCTCGTCCGATCACACTTTTCGTAATCAAGCATGCGTTAAGAAGTTTTACTTTAAAAACAATTTATAGGTGGCATCCAGAATTCAGATTACTAATTTAAATTTTACCCACAAATAGTGGTGTAACTCTCTAACTGGCAACACAGTCACTTCAGCATTGGCCCTGCGCTACTGCTATGCGGAAAATGAGAGACCCTAATTTATTTATTCGAATAAATTTATTCATTCCTAAATAAATAGCATTTAAAAAAAAACCTTCATGAAGGAAATGTTTCTACATATATTAAAATTAAAAATTAGTACTTGCTTATTTAAGCATATTTCAAAGAAAATTGTGAGTTTTTATAGTAACTTATTTTCCTTTAGACTAGATTCTGAGGAAACACTCATAAATTCTCTTTAATCATTTAGAGGTATAAGAGATGATTTAATATTATAAAAATCTAATATAATCCTAATACTTTACAAATTATTCATAGTGTAGCACTATAGCAAGAAAATAATATATATACATTTATATCGATGTCAAGCCCGAAAGTAAAATAAATATATCTTTCAATTAGATCAGAAAAAAGCGCATTTTTTTTCTTTGAACACCTAGACGTTTTTAAGATCTCGCTAGAGATAATTTTTACAAACTTTTATAACAGTGACATCTAGCGGTACACATTAAAAGTTTTAGAGACAGCAGTTCACTAAGGGAGTCTGCCACGTCGCAAATTTTACTTTTGTTAAAGTGGTGCAAAGGTTGTGCATACTTTCAAATGCGATGGCTTTTTGCATTTGATTAAATTAAATCCAAGGGGGGATTTAATTTCGTTCGTTATCGTATCGTTTTGGTATTTGGATCCCGTTGCTGAATATATTTTGACTTAGAGATTCAGGTAGTAATATTTTTAATATAAAACTAATTAACATAATTATTATGTAGTAGATGATGAGATGACCGCCTTGAGATGGTTTAAAAGAAGTTTTTAAGAACCATACACTACAAATTTCACCAGTCTAAGTAACCCTATTAGGATTTTCTTGTAGAATATAACCTATTAAATTTCTGATGTGTATGACGTTACATGGCATTTGTGGCATCACTAATCAGTTGTGTTAAGTTGATGCCTAGAACTGTATTGAGGCGCAAGGTGCACGTACCTTGGCTGTAACACACTGGTAAATGCAGAACCAATGCCGGTGTACGGGCTCCTCTCCGTCAAATTATAGAAACGTACAACACACACCTTGACAATGTAGACATTTTCGCACAGTCGCAAACAAAATCGAAAATTGAAGCAACTCAAAGTTTAGAGCTACGCTATCTATATCTACATCTCTGGTATCTCCAGTAAGGCAATGTTTATCATGAACTCGTTCGTGAACGACGTCTTTGAACGTGTCGCCGCCGAAGCGTCCCGTCTCGCCCATTACAACAAGAGTTTAGATTGCTGTATATACAACGCTGTGGCTAGACGGGTTGGTATGGGGTTCGTTACAAATTTACCTTCTCTTTGCAGTGCTGTTGTCCTGCGTAATTTGCTCCCTTAGTCGGATCTTACGACACCCACGGGATGAATTGGAGTGGTAACACTCCGTGTACGTGTAATCCGTAACCACACCTAAATGGGAAAAGTATAAACAAGACGATGGGAAAATATAATAAAACAACATAATAATACAAACAATATTTTTTTATTCAATAGAATATTGTGAAAAAAATCACACTACATCTAGATTAATCAAAATACATATAATGTATACTATGTTAAATCACATATGTAATTATTTTCTAACCTTTCCCCTTTTCTAAGTGAAATGCTGTTACATAAACACTTTCCCAATATATTTTTTTTATTATCCCTACAATATTTTCACGTTTATCGTTTTCTTTACAACTTAATACAGAGTTAAATACATAGTTATTTTTAGAGTCTTAGTTTAGAGTCCAGTTTACCAAGTATTTGTAGTTTTTTTTAACCCCTGATGGAAAACGAGGGGTGTTATAAATTTAATCTGTCTGTCTCCTGAACGGATGGACCAATTTCGATGCGGATTTTTTGTTCGAAAGCCGTTCGTTTTGTGATCGAGATGGTCCTAAGCTGTAAATTTTGAAGATCACCAGCTCACTTCCTAAGTGATGAAGGGATCTCCACAGGTCGGATTGATCTAAAATTTAGTATACAACATGGTAACTTGGAACTTGCTGCTGCATTAGGTAGTCTGCGGGATAGATAATTCCTCACAAATTAAAGCATTTATGCCATGTTTCGGCTTATTAGAATAGTATTAATGAGCAGTTGTTGCTTTTTAAAGTTTTTTTTGTGTCGGGGGGTTTTTAGTGATGCCATTATAGCAGACTCTATCCAAAGTCTTACTTATCTCGTTTTTTTCTCTCTCTCCTTTTTCTGAAGTACTGAAGATTAACTTACAATATATTTAACGCAAAATAAATCCTAATTTAAATAATTGTTCAAGGAAGTAAAGAGATGCGAGACACAATTTTGACCAACTCTTTCCATCTCACCCGCAATGAAACGGTGTATAACATCCACAGCATTTCACTCAGACCATATTGTACAGATCAAATCACAGTACGTTCCCATAAATGATAATAATTATATACAACAACAATTACAAATGCTTTATTATTGCATTTAAGGGAGCTTGAATTATACCAACGACAAATGACATTCAATATTTGAAAAAAAAAAGATTAATTAATGTTATTTCCCAAACTATAATAATTGGGAAAATTATAAATATAACCGTCATTTTTAGTTAGTTAGTCTTAATATGAAACAAAACTTGATGCATTAATGTCAATCTTTATTTTAAAGATATCATACTTAAAAAACTTTAATACGTCAATCATGGTCATATAAAATAAAATAACCTTTTAAAGTCACCGGACTTTAAAATGGGAAAACTCATTTAAACAATTTTGGGACAGAAATTCCCATCTACTGGTAAAAGAGTTTTAACAGACTTCATAAAACATGATTGCATGAAAATGATTACTGAACTTTAAATCATAAATATTATGATTTGAATTAATTAAAAAGAAGATAAATTCGTTTGGATAATCTTTCAATATCAATATTTCTTATAGGAATTAATAAAACATGGCGTATAAGTTACATGTACACTGTATCTTTGATTTTCTGACTTAACAAATATCAAGCAATCATCATCTTTGATAGTCCACTGCTGGACATGGGAAGAAACCCTTAGAAACCCTTTGAAATATAGGGTTTGTTTCAAGTTGGACACACACGGGATGAATACGGGTTTTACACTCCGTATTCTTAATCCGTCACCGCTTATTCAAGAATTTCAAGCAATAAACCATTATTATTCACAAGAATTTAGTCAGGTGGGGTCGGTTTCAAAATTGTATGCCATTTATAAAAAGCCTCTCAATCTTGTAGATGGAGAGATGATATTCTAAAACACACCTAATTTAATTCACTAAAAGTCTTGAATTGAATTGAAATAAAGACTTATGGGGAGTCAATACCAACTCAGGGTAAATATTGTTTTGTAGGAATGTATCTACTTGATGTCTGATCCGAAACAAGTCAGAGCATGTACTATTTTAACCAGACTGCTGATAAACATACTTATATGTATATATCTGACTATCATAGATAAATAAAATCACACAAATATATGCCCTGGATGGGAATTAAATCCAGAGACACGTCTGTCTTGGCATAATCACTAAACACTATAATCCATTCGTATTAAGAAAATAGTGACGGATCGACGTAGCCTCGCACCCTGACCAATCAGATCGCAATAAATTATTGTGTTGTACGACTGCATCGAACCTGATTGGTCAGCTAGTTGGCTTGATCGATACGTCACTATTTTCTTAACGCGAATGGACTATTCACAAATAGGCCTGTTATGATTTTACTGCTACACCATGCTTCATAATTCCCGTGTCGTCATTGTATGTCATTTGGTCACCCATCGTATTGTCGTTCAAAATCCGATATATTTTAAATTAACTTCGTAACATTTATTTATTTACTTAAAACTATTGTGTAAGAAACATGTAAACTCATGTATTGCGGTGTATTAATGAAATACAAAAAAATATTTTTTCATAATTTAGCAAAAATAATTTTTATTTTTGTATTTTTATTGTAATGTATTTGTAGTGAAGCGGATATTTATGTATTGTTGTATATTTTATGATATTATTTTTTATTGTCAAGACGTGTGATATGAAAAACCTAATAAGTATGTATGTTATACAAAGTTATTTCTAGTAACTTAAACACACGGATTACTTATACTAGAAATATTTTTGTATAATGACAATAATTATTATTGTATTTGTATCAAATACAAATAATATTGTACCACATTCATACAACGCCATCTAGTCCCAAACTAAGCAGAGCTTGTACTAAGGGTACTAGACAACTGGTTCCTTTTTTTTGTTAATCCATGCATATTATACGTAAACACACCCAGACCAAATCAAACATTAAATGTTAATGCAAACAAATGTTTAACTAGAGCGGGAATCGAACCCGCGACCTTTGGAATAGCAGTTCGTTACACAAACCACTACGCCGTCTGATCGTATCATACAATACATATCATACAATACAAAAACAATACAATATTTTTATTAATGATAATTTTTTGATATTTTTCTACTATTATATTTTAAATACTTATCGTTACTGAATCACTTTCAATAGTACAGTATAATATATGTATTACCTCGTGTACCTACAAAGATATAGGACGCCTACACACAAGGCAGATAGAATGTGGCAAATTGTTTGCTTTGCGTATTATTTGTATATTTTTATACTTTAAAAGTATATGAAACGGATTATGCGAATAAACATTAATACTATATATGTATGTATGATACCACTGTTTCTACATTTTCACGCTCGTTGACATACTCATATTTATATAAAGCTAATAAATTATTTATAACATTTCATGATAAACCTGTTATGAAATGTAAAAGTCTTTACATATAGAACCAGTAAAAGCAAAGATAACCTCATTTCAACAAACAAACCAACACAAAGGCATAAATTTAATAGTATATAGTAGATATTCAAATAGTATAATAACCAATGGAAGGTAATTATTGCTTTTTTAAGTCAACGATTTGAGGTCAATTCTCAGGCACCTCTTATTTGTCTTAGTTTAAACGAACACAGTGGAAATGTTTTAGTACTTCAAATTGTATTGAGGTATTTGTTAAGTGAGCAAACAATATGTATTATAATAATCCATATAATGTAGTCTGCAAACATTCAGCCACAAACTATCTTCCCAGTGAAAACGAAACCTTAAACTAACAAATGCGTTTACACTTACACGCTGACAGAATAATTCGTTATTTTCAAGCGATAAAATTACCACTACTTAACAGTTTTACAAGACTTGACTTATACTTGATAGATAGAACACAGTTTTCTTAAGCAATTACGTTTTTAACACCGATTATTTACATGGACCCGACATACAAGCGGTCTCGAGTTACGACCTTGTACATTATTTACGTTCTTGTCTTGATGTACGTTCTTGTCTTGTTTACTTCACTTTTAAGATCAGTATTGGTCACTGTTTATTATACTGAATATGTGTCGGAACTGCGGATAATGGGGTTTTTAAGTTTTGATTTAATATATTTGCGTTTAAGGTTTATGTAACACTTTGACGAATAAACGAATTTCTAGGGACCGGAAGATGTTGAGACTTCAAACATGTCATGGCAGGCTGATTCCATACTAGGGCCTGTGCTATGATATATTTCTAATTATTTTTTTTATGTTAGAGGGGGCAGACGAGCAGACGGTCAGCTGATTTAAAGTGACCATCGCCGCCCATGAACGTCTGCAACTCAGGAGTCACAAACGCGTTGCCGGCCTTTTAGGAAGGAGTACGCTCATTTTTTGAAGGTCGTATCGGTCCGGAAATACCGCAGACGATAACCCGTTCCACAGATTGGGTGTGCGAGGCAAGAACATACATCATCATCATCATTAACAGCCTTTCATAGTCCACTGCTGGACATAGGCATCTCCTTAGAAAGGAGGTTTTGGCCTACTATATCACGCTGGCCAGACGGGTTGGTATAGGGTTTGTGTCAAGTTTTCCTTCTCTTTGCAATGCTGTTGTCCTGCGTAGTTTGCTCCCATAGTCGGGTCTTACGACACCCACGGGATGAATAGGGGTGGTGACACTCTGTATTCTTAATCCGTCACCACACGGACAAAAACAAATGATCACTAACCACTACACTAACAGGGGAGTCAATGATGATGACCCGAAAGGACAGAATTTTTCCGCCAAAGTGTTAAATACACATCTGAAGAAATAATAAAGAAATTGACTGTTTATTTGTCTAGTTAAATAAATAAATGCAAGATTATGAAAGCAAGACGAAACATTTAGTCCTAATGCAAGGTTTTCTGCCAAGAGTGACTTCGCTAGATGTTACGGAACTAATATCGAACCACTTTTTTGTTTGAAGAAGAAAGTTGTTTTTTTTTTATCTATTTATATAGGGGTCAATAAAAGCAGCAGGGTTACGAAAAAAATCACGGCTGACGGGTCACCTGATGGTAAGCAACACTACCGCCGCCCATGAACACCTGCAACTCAAAAGTCACAAGTGCGTTGCTGCCCTTGGATTCCCTCCCGCTCGAGTTAGCGGGAAGGGGTATTTGGGCTTCGGTAACCTCACTTACCCAGTGAGAGGCAAGGAAAGAATTGCTTAACACCGGTTTTAAAACCGCTACCAAAGACACATATTTAATAGTGTTAACGAACTTTTTAGTCTAATTATATTTGATGGTTTTTCAGAGCAACGTATGTACTGCACAACTTTTTATTTGGTAAGATTTTTTTGTATTAATTCACAAAAAGAAATCTATTTTAGCATTTAGAATTTAATGTTTTTTAATTACATCTAGTTAGTTTTTTTGATAACACACAGATTATATTTTATGTACGGTTTTATCAAGTTTAAATATTTATTGTTCATGTGTATAGACTAGTATATAATCAAATTCATATGTAAAAAAAAATTATAAAGCAATTTCAAGACATTTTTTCCTAATGTATAAACTGAAGATTCGTTTTACGCGATTTCGTTTACGAGGTTCCGACCTACTTTCACTACATGGATAAACACATTATATGCGAGTAACTTTAATGGTTTTATTATGGTGTAGGTGGTAGACAGGTCATGTGATGGTAAGGCCCTTTGAGTGCTCTCCCCCCAAGTTAGGGATGGAGGTTGGGCCACCAGCTGGTGGTGTCTGGGCTGTAGCGACACTCCAGCCAAGCTGGCCCGGTTTAATATTTAAAAAACATGTTTAAGTTGCGGGGATCTTGAAAAATCCATTTACAGAATTCGAACTTTTCGAATGAAGTTGGGACTTCAGAAGTCTTCTGACAAAGCCAAAATATATTAAGTATGATACATAAGTGTTTTCGACAGTTATAAGCTATTACAGGGAGAAATTCCTACTAAGTCCAGTCAAAACTAGTTCTTCGTATGGTTTAATTTCAGAAAATGCAATCATTTTGTCAGTGAATACATCACAGTTAGCCAATTATAAGGCGGCAGCCGTAAACGTATCCTTTTCTCTCCAATGACGGGGTACCACAGGGAGCGATTTTTAGACCCCGTATAATCCAACGATCTATGAACAGCTTTTGACACTTCTTCACTCCAGATAAAATCCAAACAGCGACCTGATTCTGGGAAGACCAAGTTGAAGTTGTCCGAAGCAGTCCAAACAAATTGTCTTATACTTACACCAGGCTTATTAGTACTAAATACGTTCTCATATGATATTACAACAGCGGCAGTACCCGGGCCGCGCTCCACCACCCCCTACGGGGGGCGTGACGGGAGCGAAGTATGCGTGTACACGGATGTTGGGTAAATGATTCTGTAACCACAAAATTATACATTTGAATATAAAAAGATTTATCCCTTCTAGCTCACGGCTCGACGGACTGAAGATCACCAAGGAGTGGGTTGAAAGCTTTAATAACCTTTCATTATACTTTTTTTTAGGCGATATTTGTAAACATATGTTGTTTACCTAAGACCCAAACTAATTATAACACATATTACAGATAAATTTAACCTAGATATAGAACAAATGATAGTGGTCATCATAGAATAGTTTATTCTAGGTGGGAATCGAACTCGCTGTGCAGTGAAGATCGCTAATCACGAGATCAACCAGGGACCTTTAGAACACAGGATAGAATATATTTAGACAAATTTTCGGATAATAACATAAATTTGTGCTAAGTGAAAACTGAGTAGGTTAACATATTGCAAAGTTAAGCGATCATACCTAGGTCAGTCTATAGATGGGTAACCATTCTTAACACATTAAGACCTCTCCGTACTTAGGAAAACACTAAGCCATTAGTCCCGGTTGCCATACGAACATTTATGGCAATCTGATGAAGGTGGAGGTCTGGCAATCGCTCCACGTAAAAAATCAAAGTTCAGCCGTATCGTAGGAGACTTAAAGGCGACCCCAACCTAGTTTAGGAAAAAGGCTCGAAGGAAGAAGAACATAAAATTGTATAATCACCCTTAGCTTCCTGATAGCATTTCTGCTAACCATCTGGCAGTCGTATAGTTCGATTAGTTGAAGATTGTGACAAGATATTAGGTGTTCTAGTGCTCCATCTGTCACTAAGGGACAGTTATCTAGACCTGTAAACAAAGAAAATATTAGAAAAAACCAACAGACACATTGTGTTTGTCCACCAAAATCATGTCAAAAGCCTTAAGTAGTTTATGGCACCATCACATGGTCCTTCGAGCCGGAATACGTACCAAGTACAGTTAAATGTTCAGCAGCACACGGAGACATAGACAACTGTTTGATACCGTAGTCTGTTATTAATTCACAATGTGATAATGTCTGAAATTAAAAAAAGAGATCGGTTTAATATAAGTACATATTACGCAATCATCATAATCATCATCAACAGCCTTTACTAGTCCACTGCTGGACATAGGCCCCACCTCAGAAAGGAGGTTTTGGCCTACCATACCACCCTGGCCAGACGGGTTGGTATAGAATTTGTTTCAAGTTTTTCTTCTCTTTGCAGTGTTGTAGGTCCTGCGTAGTTTACTCCCTTATTCGGCTCTTACGACACCCTCGGGATGAATAGGCACATTATGGAATACATAATTCTATTTCGTTCCTTCAACGTAATCGAGAATTAGCTTTGTCGTACATACTATATTCTTATGGCCAAGTATTTCATTTAACAGAAACTAATCGATTCTCTAACATTTATAACTCACCAATTTTTCGAGTCGTGGGCATCCCATCGATAAGTGAACTAGTGTGGTGTCCGTGATCAACACGCACTCCTCCAAGTCCATTCGTTCTAGAAGTCTGCAACTCTGTAAAAGTAGCGAGCCTTATAGTAGTAGCATGAAATGTGTAACATTTGACGACTAATCTAGCAATGCGTGCTCATTGGTCAAATCCAATAGTGCGCGCCTTCGCCTTCTTGCTACATACTTCCGTCCCTTTTTATTTATTTATTTCGGATCACCTTTTGATGAAATCAATCACACAGATTGCAGGAAAGAGGTAAAATATTAGTTTTATTTATTTTTATAGTATAGGGGTGGGGGAGGGCAACAAGCATACAAGTCAGGGATGGTAAGTGATTGGTAACTTGGCTTAGCACATTTAACTTTTTATATTTTTTATATTAGTACATACTCTGGCCAGCGCCTGGAATCCAGCATCAGTTAGCATAGAGCACTGCGCAAGTTCCAGTGTGACCAGGTCGGGACAGCGTTGGGCCAGCGCCGCCAGGCTGGCGTCTGTCAGGCGAGAACACCCCGACAGGCACAGACGACGCATCGCTCCACCCAGCTTCATAATCGACTCATCTGTCAGCATCTGCGGGATACAAAAGACCTCTTATTCATGTGTTAATTTCACTTTATATGCAAACGATAAGTAGATTTTCTTCCATGAATTTATTAAAGGCTTTTGATAAGGATCGTTATGTAATATTTATGGTTCAGAATATTTACTTTCTCAAATTTTTATTACTTTTCGATAAAATTATTAAGGCTTTTCATTTGATTTGAATGACAGAATTCATAAATTGAATGCTAACAGAAAAAAATGTTAGAAGCTTTTATTAAAGATAAGAGTGCCTCAAGGATCAATACTAGGTCCATTTTTTTATTATTCATCTCTCAGTTTTTCTTGACTAAAGACTAATTACAAGTGGAGAGCCACTATCACTTTAGGTAATGCCAAAATTTAGAATTAAAAAAAAACAGAACTGAAATTTAACTTATTGTTCTTAATAAAAGTCGTATTGAAAATGATTAATTCATAATAAAACTGAAGGCTTATAAATGAGACGGATAAAGTTTTAAGGATCTTTAAAATCAGTAGGTAATTAAACTAAACTACAATTAAGGTAATTCCCAATTCTGGTAGTTAAAATACCTCTGAAAATAAAAGGATAATTACCTCACAGCCTTGGACGTTTAACACTTCAAGATCTAGACAATGTGTGGCCAATGACGATACAGCCCTGTCGTTTACATTTTTGCAACCTGAAAAAGAAGAGAGACCTTTAAAACTATGCAGTGAGAGAGCCAGGATTCGACACAAACGGACCGTCTCGACCGGAATTTTGCCACAGCCTCACAGAAAACCGGTGTTAAGTAATTCTTGCGTTGCTTTTCACCGGGGGAGGAGGAACAACCAATGATGTGATATTGTTGTTGATATAAAATGAATTCGCACTAGGCATTAGTGTCCATAGGCGATGGTAGTCACTTACCATCGGTGACCCTCGTTTGCACCTATGCCATAAATAAAATAATTATGCAGTACTTAGATGACGTTGCTTAAAGTTATGACCTGGATAGGAATCGGTTCTAAGACCTCAACACACATGATGTCTACCCACTAAAACAACATGCTGTGAAGATAGTAGGCATAGGACAAAATCACAGTGAACTGTGAAAGACCGGTGATTTATCATTCGATTTTTTTCGGACGTAGGTTAGGGTTACTGCTTACTTCCGCTTAATTGCCAATAAGCTGTTTTCAGATGATACACAAAGACCCTATTTCGCCTATTTCACAGTTAATCTAGTAATTATTTCATTATATATAGCTACCATTCTCTACATAATAATTTAAAAAATTACTAGATTTTACAAGATTATTAGAACGCTCACCTACGTACGCAAAAATCGAATGATAAAACACAGTTCACTGTGATTTTGTTCCATGTTTAGAAGATAGTCTTTGAGTCATGAAATTGGCGCTGATAAGTGACAACGGCATTAAAAGCTTCATCATCAACAGCCTTTAACAGTCCACTGCTGGACATAAGCCTCTCCTTAGAAAGGAGGTTTTGGCCTACTATACCACGCTGGCCAGACGGGTTGGTATAGGGTTTGTTTCAAGTTTTCCTTCTCTTTGCAGTGCTGTTGTCCTGCGTAGTTTGCTCCCTTAGTCGGCTCTTACGACACCCACGGGATTATTGGGGTGGTGACTATACGTATTCTTAATCTGTCACCACACGGACCCTTAAAAGCTTAACAAGGCTAATTTAGAAATTACGCTCACGCCTTATTCCCGTCCGGGGTAGACAGACACGATAGAACATCATTTTCCAGGATTCTTACACACAGTTCGCGCTTTTTTCCCATTCATCAGGCCTTTCAGGTCCTTCTTCAGTGCACCAACGATCTAGTTACTGTATAATAATAATAATAACTACACACACGGTAGTTTGATCCCAAAGTAGACAGAGCCTGTACTATTGCAAACTTTTTTTTGTGCGGAAATTCCCTCGGATACCACCGGTGGTAATGCCGGACTCTAACCGACTAAAAACCGCACGCCATCTCAGGTGCCAGTAGCCGGGGAACCTGGTGTACCCTAGGAAGGAAATCAATGGAACCGAACGCCATCTCAGGTGCCAGTAGCCGGGGAAACTAGTGTACCCTAGGAAGGAAATCTCTGGAACCACACGCCATCTCAGGTTCCAGTAGCCGGGAACCTGGTGTACCCTAGGAAGAAAATCTCTGAAACTGGACGCCATCTCAGGTACCAGTAGCCAGGGTACCAGGTGTACTATTGCAACCTGGCTGCTGATAAACATACTTATATATTTCTAAATCCAATGAGTCTCCAGTAATCTTCTGAGTCTCTTGCCTAAACTAGGTTGGGGTCGTCTTTAGGTCTACTATAGTTAAACCGCCGTAAGCTTGGCCCTCCTGATGGTTTGCGGGACGCGGGGCGGGTGATGCGCTCGGCTATACATGACACGATGTACTAACTCGATATCTTCAGATTTATTTGTTTGAGATTTAATCTACACACGATGTAATAAAAATCGAATTTTTTTCCATGTATTATAATGTCAGTGTATTGTAAGTTTTTATGATTAATTGTAAAATTTAATACTGTAAAATAATTTTAATAAAATCACCTTTTCTTCATCATGTAAATTATATTCAGATACAATTTAAAAATTAAGTAAAATAATAAACATTCTTTATTAGAACTTTAACAGTAGAACCTCTGTAAGCCGAACCTCAAGTTTTTGAATCTTTTTGTGACGCAGTGTCGGCAGATTATCCATGTTGCAAAATAATACCGTGTGTAGCAGTCTTAAGAAAACTAACACGTACAGCCATGCTTTCACGTCAGTCACTGCCGGCGGACAGCGACGCACTAGCTAATTGGTTGAATGCACCCCCGCCCCGCGTCCCCCAAACCATCAGGAGGGCCAAGCTTACGGCGGTTTAACTATACGATACGGCTGAACTTCGATTTTCTAAGCGGAGTGACTGACATCAGACCTCCACAACCCAAGTACTAGGCGTTATCGAAGTTCTGTAGATTCTGTTTCTGGTCTTTTTAGGATTCCAACTGTTGCCACATATGTTCATCTCAAGGGTCTGTGTGTGTTAAGAATCCCACCCCATCCATAGACTGACCTGGTTAGAACTTTACAATAAGTTAATTTTGTCGGTTACCACGTAGCCACGAGCCTCTATATTTTTTTTTTTATTTATTAGGCCACCAACGGCGAGTACACTATTACAATGTATTTATAAACATATGAATTTTAAAGTTAAGCATCACGCCACTTAAAGGTAGGCACAGCATGGACCAACAAAAGTGCAATAACAATTTACAAAAAATAATGTGAACTTAAAAGTTATCATAAGACTTACAAAAACTTACAAAACAAAGAGAAGCAAAATCAAATTGAAAAATAAACAAATAAACCCCTATAAGCTTACATTTCTTGTATCTAACACAATTGTCTTAATTCGAGGCACATATTATAGACACACACATACATATTGACTGCACGGATGGCGTAGTGGTTTAAGCGGTCGCCACGCCGCTTCCTACTGCGCCGAGTGTTGTGGGTTCAAACCCCACATGGGACGACACTTTGTGTGATCCACAAATTGTTGTTCTAAGTCTGGGTGTCCTTTGTGTCCGTTTCATGTATGTTTGTAAAGTCCCCCGCGACACAGGATTTATTCCTAATGCGGGCGTTGTCTTTTTTAAACAAACAACAACAAGATATTACTCAGACACAAATGATCGTGCTCAACACACAATGATTTATCCTGGGTGGGAATCGAACCCACGATCCCCGGATTAGCAGTCAGGGTTACTAACCAATAGTCCAACAGGTCTGTCATATCCACTCACATGGCCTTATAAACCGGCCCAAACCATGTTAGAAAATAAAAGCTTACCTCTGCATATAAAACTTTTCAGTTTGGGACATCCTCGTGCCAACGCTTCCACTCCATTCTCTGAGATAGACTGACACCAGCTAACATTGACGTGTGTTAACATCTTGAAAAATAAGAGAAAAAAGGTGATTATTCTGAGAAATGGTTATTACCCCTACCCCGCTGATCCTGGGTGAGGACTAAAAGCACTTGTGTCTATTGAGTCGCAGGTGTACAAAGCTGGCAGTTGCTTACTATCAGATGACCACAAAATTGAACTAGGCAAAATGAGTGTGTTTAAACGCGTCTGCATACTCCTATATACATCTATACAAATAAATAAAATTGAAGGGTCTGTTTGTAATGTCAAAATAATAGGTTTTTTACATGCTTGCACGGTTATTTGCTAGATAGCTATGCCTAAAAAACAGTTTTTTTTTGTCTGTCTGTCTCTTTGTAATCTTCTAAACGGCTTTACCGATTGCGATAATATTTTACTACCAGGTAGCTGGTTACATAAGGAATAACTTAGGATATTTTTCCTCTCAGAAAAACCCTTTAAAATTTTGCCCGGTCGAGGCATCACACCCACTAAGGCAGCGCTATTCAAATTCCACGCGAACGCGGGTACCAGCTAGTTAAGATATATAGATGTGTGTGTATGTATGTAATGTCATCATCATCATTAGCCTTTAGTAGTCCACTGCTGGACATAGGCCTCTCCTTAGAAAGGAGGTGCCACGCTGGCCAGACGGGTTTGTGTCAAGTTTTCCTTCTCTTTACAGTGCTGTTGTCCTGCGTAGTTTGTTCCGTTAGTCGGCTCTTACGACACCCACGGGATGAATAGGGGTGGTGACACTCCATATTCTTAATCCGTCACCAGAAGGTATATAGGTATGTATGTATAGTTCATTTATTAAGAAATATAATAAATGCATAACAAATACACAAACACACTTGCTCGTACATTTGTATAACACTCACCGGACACCCATCTGATAAGGCCTTCAATGATATATCTGTTATGCTGGGGCAGGAGTCCAGGTTTATCCTGGAAAATATGATTTTTTTTTATAATAATCTTACATAAATATCTGAAATTATAACAAAGTTGGCGTTGTGGTTTGTGTAACGGACTGCTATTCCAAAGGTCGTGGGTTCGATTCCCGCTCAAGTCAAACATTTGTGTGCATGAACATTTAATGTTTGATTTTGGTCTGGATGTTTCTTTGTATAATATGTATGTATTTACAAAAAATATATATATATGTATTTATATCAGTTGTCTAGTATCCATAGTACAAGCTCTGCTTAATTTGGGACTAGATGGCGTTGTGTGAATGTGGTTGAATATTATTATTATTTTATGAAAATGAATGAATGAATGCCCTTTTTTGACATGCAGGATTTGTGTGTGTGTGTGTATCTAATATGGGGCGTTCTACTTTTCTACCGACAATGACGTGTCTCTTCTTGAAAAAAAATCGGTTTTTGTCCAAAATTGCAGTTTCTCAAATTTTATTTCGACAAGATTTTTTTGGACCATACAGAGATTATAAAAATACTAAAATTCCGTTTTTATTTTTTTTGCTTTTTACAAAATCATTGTGACATAGTATTCGAAATGTGTGACAGAGGTGTTTTACATACAAATAAAACTTGTCTCTTTGCGCCGCCTAATGTTACAAAATGATCTCGCTTAAAAAAATCATATGGAATCCTTTAATATAAAATTATTTATTGAACTTCTGAAATATTATCATTACATTGATTAGAATATAATAAACGTAAAGGTTCATATTATTAAACAAAAAAATATTTTATCGTTGGGTCCGGCTATGTATGTTTTTTCTTGCTATCTTCCGTCACGCATTTCGCAAAACAAAAAACGCTTCTTAGCTGTTTCACCTTCAACACTAAGCAACAGTACGGTTTCCTCTTCCCCCTTGGCCTCACGCCTTGGGGCCTCACCCGGGAGCGAGCCGAGTTAGTCGCCTGCAGGAAGTGAACAGAGATGCGTGTGTTTATTCGACGACCGCTCTGTCACGTAAGTTACTACTTTGAAATTTTATTGTAATTAATATTTATATATGTAATATTATTATTTCCCAGCAAATCTGTCATATTCACCCACTTTTACGAACAATTTGTAATTTTGTGAACGCTAAAATCCTCGAACACTATTATTTTACACTTCTGTCACGAGGCACCTCTGTCACAAATAAACTGTGACGGAGTGGCATAACTCGTGACGAAGTGGTAATTTTTGTCTTGAACTTTGCATTGATTGATTTTTACAATAGTTAATTAATATTTTTTGTGTTCTATATATTACATTATCAATTATTTTATTAATTTAAGGTATTATCATCGGGGTAATTAAAAATTGCGTTATCTGCGGCGGAAAGGCAGCGACGTTGTCGTGAAAAAAGGAAACAAGACCCCGAAAAAGTTGCAGAAGTGAAACGAAAAGACTTAGAAAGATGTCATACTCGCAAAAAGCTAGTCAAAGATATGACACCAAGAGATCACAGACAAATGAAAAGAAAATGGCAAGTTAGAAACAAGAAGAGAAGAGAACAACAGAAAGATTTGCAGAACGTTCTAATGAATGCTCCGGCTTCCACAACTGTTCCTTCAAGCCCCAGGTTACTTACTTTAAGTCCTAGATCTCGTTCACTAACTTCAATCTCATCCACTGCTAGAGCAAGGGGTAGAAAAAAAGTTAGACGAGACAGATCGAAAATTTATAGGCAAAATATGAAACTCCAAGACAATGTAAAAGAATTACAGAAAAAAATACGAAAATACAAGAAAAGACTTCAACGTCGAAAAAATAAAAAAGATAACTTATTACATAATATGACCAAAACCATTAAAAAAAAATGAAGATAAAATTAAAGGCGCCGAAGAAGAAAAAAAAAATAGTATCTTGACAAATGCAATTAAGGAACATTACAAATTACTGAACATGAGATGGAAGTTAACGATAGCCCAACCTCAGATTTAAAAGAACCACTGGCTGATATAACCAACATAATTAGAGCTCCTACAAAGAGATTTTATGAGACTGTTTATACTTCTACTTCAGAAGATGAAGATGATCAGCCTCTTGTTAATCAGAAAAAAAATGTGCACATAAAACCGGGTACTTCATACGATCTGTCTGTTGACAACATTCACCCATTATTAATAAAAAATGGTACACATATGTTAGTAAAAGTACCCAGTAAAAACAAAGTCGAGTACACCTACTTAGGAGTAGTAAAAAGTTGTGTGGATGAAAAAGGTGATGTTTTATAAAACTGTTGATGACACTGGAAAAATATTTAAATTAGTAAAATCAGATCTTTCAGATGTGATGTTTGAAAACTTGATAAAAATAATTCCAAGTCCTAAAGAAGTCAAAAGAGGAAAGCGTGTTTATTACGAATTTGATAAACCAATAGAAGTATTTGAAAAGTAGAATAAGAGAAAAGAGAAAATTAGTCTGATTTTACGTGTACCAAAGAATGGTTCTACCAAGATATAATATATTATGTAGCATTATAAGAGAAGCATTATGTTTTGTTATCGTTTTAAAAACATTAAAAATGTTAAAAAATTAAGTTCAAATGTTGGCATATTAATATCTACCACTCTGTCACAAGTTTGTCCCTCTTGTAACTAAACGTCAATGTAGCATATGATTCTATTTATTGAAAACTATACTAAAAAAACGTATTATATTATTACATATTGACCATATAAGGTATTAACAGAATTTCGACTATGTTTATTTCAATTATTTGCAAAATATTTCAAAGTTTGTTATCTTAACGAGCAAAAATGTGCCAGAGTGGTATTAAATGTTATTTTTTATATATTTGTAATCAAAATTCTTATAAATCGAGTTACATAATAATAAATGCTTGTATTCCAGTTAAGCAAAGTGAAAGAAAAACTGAAAATTTGATTTTACATAATAACTAATAAAAAAAATTTCTTTTGTGACTGAGGTGTTTATTTTTTCTTACTATTCCGATAAAACTTAAAATAAATAAAAGATATAAAATAAAACTTCGATGCATTATACATTTCTGAAATCTTCGATAACTGGACAATGATTTAAAAATACATTTTATGAAAGAAATACACTTTTATTTTTTTTCAAAATCAAAAAATGTATCACTCAGATTGTCGGTAGAAAAGTAGAACGGCCCATATATAAAATTCTCGTGTCACGGTGTTAGAAGTTGAACTCCTCCGAAACGGCTCGACCGATTTTCGTGTAATTTTGTGTGCATATCGGGTAGGTCTGAGGTGGTCTATTTATCATACCACAAACTTTTTTTTTTAAATAATGTATGTGGCAAAACAACGTTTGCGGGGTCAGCTAGTATTTATATAATACTTTCTACAGCTCACCTCTGCAGTTTACTGCACTTCCTGCCGAGCGCCTGACAGCTTTGGTCGGTGATCTTCTTGCATTTGTTCAAGTTCAAATCCTCTATATTCTGGCATGACTGTAACACAACGACAATATTTATAATTTGACGGGCCTGTTGGTCTTTTTTTTTATTAAAAAAAACAACTCCCGCATTAGGAATATATCCTGTGTCGCGGGGGACTTTACAAACATACATAAAACAGACACAAAGAACACCCAGACTCAGAACAACAATTTGTGGATCACACAAAGTGTCGCCAACCACCACGCCATCCGTGCAGTCCAGTGGTTGGTTACCCTGAGTACTAAACCAGAGGTCGCGGATTCAATTCCCACCCAGGGCTAATATTTATGTGATGAACGCGGCGTGTAATTTTCTATAATATGATTGTATTTAGAAATAATCGTATATGAATATTTATAGTCATAGTCATTTATTCATCAACTAATTACATTGTATTTGAAAATAAAATAATTAATAAAATAATAGTAATAAATTTTAAACAAAAAAAGAAAAAAAAAACATAATTGTGTCATCATCATCATTATATCATCATCATCATTATATCAGCAATCTGGTTACCATAATACAGGGCCCTGCCTAGTTTGGAATCAGACGGTCGTGTCTTAGATGTGCGAGGATTTTATAATTAGAAATTATTATTTTATTGTTAATTAGCGCTAAAATCTCGGGTTCACGTCCAGCTTTGAACAAAAATGTGATGGAAGTGTTCTTCTTACCATAGCTCTTAAAATATGTACGCATTTACAAAAAAAAGCCGTGTGGTGTCGTGGGACACCCGATAGGAACGAAGTTGTGACGATCGAGTAAAACTGATTCGACACGATTTTAATTACAACGCCATCTATGAAAGCGGCTATTACCTACATATTTTTCAGTTGGTTTCTAATTAAAACAATTTATATCGATAGATGGCGCTGAATGACCGACAAGTGACAATTCAAAATAAATACTGAGATGAAAAGTAATGATTTCCTATCTATTCGATAGATGGCGCTGAATGGCTGACATAAAAAGTGTCGTTACAACTTTTCGTAAGATTTTTTTCCGTCTAGCCCCCTTTCACAACGCGCGATAAGGAACTCCGTTCCAAAAATAATATAATACTGTATGTCTGTTATCGCGGAAAAAAGTAGCGTATGTTACTCGCTGATAATGTAGCTTTCCATTGGTGGAAGAATTTTTGGAAACGGTTTAGTAGTTGAGGCGTGAAAGCGTAACAAATAAGCAAATTAACGTTCACATTTATATTCTAAGTATGGAGGCATGAATTTGTGTTCATAATTTTAGATATAGGATGTCTACTATTGGACATTGGCACCCTCTAATGGCTTCGAAGAAGACTGGTTGGCGGTGGTCATTATCCAACGTCGAGTTGTAATCTGTACAATACCATCACTCCACGTTCGGTTCTGATAATATTTGTACGTCAAACCAATAAGGCTAAAAATTCTTAAAGAAGTAGAGGTTTTTACTTACTTGTGCTAAAGTCTTGATAGAGCCATCACCTATACTCTCACATCCTCTCAGAGAGAGTTGTCTGAGGAAACCCCCGCATCTCTGTGACAAGTTCTCAATTACAGGACCCTGGAAATAACGTCATATTGGGTTAGTATTATTTATTTATTTATATCTTTATTGTTTACAGTTAACACATAAGACATTACAAATATATAGACGTAACAATCGGCGGTCTTATCGCTCACGGCGATCTCTTACAGGCAATCTTAATACGGATATTAATTATTTAAAAGTTGGGTAGTTTACATACACGTAACGCATATCACGTGAATATTTAAAATATAAACAAAAGCATTCATACACAAATAAACACCTGTTCACACTACACATAGATAAATACACATACATACACACATACATAAACAAATTTTATAAATATACATATATACATATTTAATAGACATACACACAACATATATATATATATATATACTGTCCAGAATATATCTATACTAATATTATAAAGCTGAAGAGTTTGTTTGTTTGTTTGAACGCGCTAATCTCAGGAACTACTGGTCCGTTTTGAAAAATTCTGTCAGTGTTAGATAGCCCATTTATCGAGGAAGGCTATAGGCTATATATCATCACGCTAAGACCAATAGGAGCGGAGCACCAATGAAGAATGTTTCAAAAACAGAGAAAATTTATTACTATTGAGAGACGCAGACGAAGTTGCGCATGTCCGCTATACTATATATAATGAAACCAACAGTATTTATAATGTCAGATAAAATCATAGATTTAACGTATTAAAAAGGGCCCTTTTTATTCTGGACACTTTTCATACACAGAGATGGTTCTCCTTGCCTCTACCCTCCATACTTTTGACAGAAAGAAATCTGTCAGGGCAGCTAGTTACAATTTTTATTTATTTATTTACACTTTATGCAAAAATGTGTCAAAGGCGGACTTAATGCCGTAGGCATTTTCCCCCAGTCAACCACAGGGCGATGCAGAGCTAAAACATGGTAGATGCACAAAAGAAATTAAAAAATGTGATTTAATGATAAATACAACATATATAGGATATCATATACCCAGAGTACTTTTTAATAGATAATACATATATATACAATAAGTGATAATAATACTAACACATACAATATTTATACACTTTATACATATACAAATGTATTTTTTTGTTTAAAAAAATTATAGTTTAAAAAAACTAAAAAACACGCTTTCTATAGAAAACCAAACTAAAAAATAGAAAAAAAAATTGAAAAAAAAGCGTGGGGTGCTTTTTACTATTGACAACAGGCACCCAACGCTTTTTTTGTTGTGTTTTTTAGTTTTTTTAAACTATTTTTTTTAAATTAGTGTATTGTCATCGGTCCTCGATATATCTACAAAGTTTGAACGAATTCTGACCGTTTAAAGTCAGTCAAAATCACGCACAAAGGAGTCGGTTACAAACATACAAGTGAAGCTAATATAAAGCGTGTAAAAAAAAGAAACTCTCACCTCCACATCTCTCTGGAACTCGAAGAGATCTATTCTTTGCCAGTTGGAGCCGTCAAGTGCCAATATGTTCCATAGTTTGGAGACCTGCAATATGGATTAGGTACGATTGAGAACTGGTTCACGCCAGCATCGAGATGGGGTTTATTAGGGTAAATCTATATAAAAGTTTCGTCTGTATAAATAGAAAAGTTTCACATCAACAGCCTTTAATAGTCCACTGCTGGACATTAGCCTCTCCTCAGAAAGGAAGTTTTGGCCTACTATACCACGCTGGCCAGACGGGTTGGTATAGGATTTGTTTCAAGTTTTCCTTCTCTCTGTAGTGCTGTTGTCCTGCGTATTTCGATCTGGGATGAATAGGGGTGGTGACACTCTGTATTCTTAATCCGTCACCACACGGATAGAATTGGAAAGTTTATTCAAAGTTAAATAAATAATTTGGAAAGTCCAACTTTTTTTTGGTCTGATTTGCATGAATACTAGTTTATCAGAATCTAACAACCTAGTATTATTATGACTTGAAATATCTCACACACGGCCGTCTGATCTTTAAACTAGGTAGACTATGTGTTGATACGGATGTCTTAATATCAGCTGTTCCCGGACCAATCTCAGGCGCGGAGTGGCACACCGTGTGGTTTTAGTCGGTTCGATTCCCACACACCGCCCCGCCGCAAACCCCGGTGGGGTGACGGATAGACTGCGTTGCATAGCCCATTTATCAAGAAAAGCTATAGGCTATGTAACATCACGCTACGGCCCATAGGGGCTGAGCATTAATAAAAAAAAATCGGCTGTCTGTAAAGTCGGTTTACTGACGATAGTTGAACGTGACAACGTCATAAGACACCACATTCACTTTTCACTGCACTTCATACTTGACGAAAACATGTAAATGTATTATTGTATAGCAGCTGTCCACGCGGACCCATCGCTCACTCAAGTAGGAGAGAGACAGATGTCGAACGCTACCGAACGCGGAGGCCGATTGTGCCTCTTTGTCGCTCGTTCCGCGCTCTCGCTTGCACTTCAAGCCTTAAATGGAACGCCTCAGAGCGAGGTAACGCCGCATGAGTCATGTTTTTTCGTGCGTGCAGCCGGCTCCATCGAATTATAAGACGTTGTCACGTCAAAAATTTTACAAAAAACGGGGAAGGTCGCAGACGAAGTTGCGCAGGTCAGCTTGTAATAGATAAAAAGTAATTTAATTTCATTTCTTTGTTATTAATAGTGTTATTCATCAGCGTTATCGCGACAATCTTGACTTATTGTCTGCTACGCACCATGTTGTTATTTATTTACTTATCTATTTATATATTAGCCAGACAATCAGTTTAAATTGATACCTATATACACACACGTCTTTAATCACGAAGAACCAGACAGAAGCCTATTAAATGCAGAGTTGTTACTTAGGTTTGTGTGTCTGTGATTGCGCCCCATCGGCAACCATTTTTACCACCGTTATTTAAATTAAAATATCTGTTTTTTTTTATTAATTAGACAATTCCTGCACTTAGAATATATCCTGTGTCGCGGGGGACTTTACAGACATACAAGAAACGGACACAAATAACACCCAGACTCAGAACAATTTGTGGATCACATAAAATATGTTCCCATGTGCAGATCGAACCCACAATAATTAACGAAATAGGAAGCGGCGAGGTGACCTCTTAAACTCTGTGCAGTGTTTTAGTTACAAATAAGGTGTAACAGTTGGCGACCCTCACCTGAGCACATCGACATAGCGAGACCACGTCCAGGTAGGACAATATCCTCAGAAGCAGCTCTTTCGGCAGCTTCTTGTTAATATGATTCTCATCCTCGGCAGAAAACCGAGAGATCTGGAACAAAAACAGATAACTTTTAAACTTTAGCGTCTCATTAGCGACTAACAATAAGTAAAGGATCCCAACGGTGTCCACTTTTGAGTATCCTCCTCCCAGATAAAAGGAGACGGAGGGAGTATTGGACCACCGGTAACCTCGCTTACTTGATGAAATGCAAAGGAACAATGGCTAACTCCGGTTTGCCGGTTTCAGGTTTCTATCGATCCAGTCGTGCTACCCCATTTCTGCTAATGGCTCTTCCACTGTTAATAATAAACCTTTCTCTGTGACACCGGCCAGTGCGAAGTGCCAGTGCTCGAACTTCAGACATGATCCTTTAAATAGCGATAAAAACATGACACCGATTTAATCAAACGGTAAGTCGTCTGACACCAAACAATGACTGATTACAACCGCCCTTCACATCACATCACATCAACAGCCTTTAATAGTCTGCTGGACATAGGCCTCTCCTTACAACGGAGGTTTTGGCCTATTGTCAAGCTGGCCAGACGGGTTGGTGTAGGGTTTGTTTCAAGTTTTTCTTCTCTTTGCAGTGCTGTTGTCCTGCGTAGTTTGCTTCCTTAGTCGGCTCTTACGACACCCACGAGATGAATTGGGGTGGTAACAATCCGTATTCTTAATCCGTCACAACACAGACATTTACCCCAAAGTCGTAAAAAAATATCCTTAACGATCGCTGGGCCCACCCAGACAGCCTCAGCATTTCACGCGAATTTGACACCTAAACCCCGCTGTAGCAACCAGAATGGTTTATCTCACTTAACTATGCTGGTTGTAATAAAATTTCAACTGTTACTATCATCAACAGCGTTTAGTAATCCACTGGCTGGACATACGCCTCTCTTAGAAAGGAGGTTCTGGCCTAAATACCACACTGGTTACTAAACTAAAATTATATTTTAAAACGTATTTCACAGTAGGTGTGTACGGGTCAAAATGACTTACTAATGGAATATAATATTGTACTTATATAATTATTAATATAAGAATGACCAGCAAATGCTGATAATGCATGCAGCATAATGACCTACTGACCTGCACAGATAACCATCAACCATATGTACCTAGTTAGTTTTAAGTTTTAGAAATGTATAAATATATATTTGCTATGAAATTTTTTCGTTTAATTTGACTGAATATTTGTCCAAACCAGACATATTTCTAGTAGAACTCACGGTACCGTGGGAAACGATGAACCCTAAAGACCATGCTTTAAGAAGAAACAAGTATTTTGACTTAAATAACGAAATAACTAGAAATGGTTATTTCGTTGCGTAAAGGCAAAGTGCAGCTAAATCTCTCTATAACCTGCTTAAAGACCTTTGATTGCCAAGAGCTTCAGTATGCTCTTTTCTGGAACGAATATCCAAAGCTGCAACACAGCCGACAGTGGAAGTGAGCGCTTGCAAGGAGTACTTCATAAACCTACTCCTGGGTCACAATTCCCAGGCGCTGCGCATGCGATGGACCCGGCAACCGCACGGTGAATTCATGGAATGCTAAGAAATAAGTGTTCTAGGTCATGTCCAAATCGACATTGAACAGTATGTCCCTCCATCAAAAAGAGGGGAACCTCCAACGTTGGCTGGCTGGGGCCAAACGGGTAATCTTGGGAATCTGATGATTAGTAGGTACCCTGTAGTTCAGTATCTTCATCATAAGTTTTGTTACAAGCGGAATTCAATGTAGAGGTCAGCTATTATTACACTACGGATACAAATACCACCATAAAAAAGTATATAAGAATGATGCGTTTTTATGGTGTTGCAGTAATCGGAATGAATATAAATGGTTAATAATGCATAAATTAAACTATATTTGATATTTAATCAACCATTTCCTTTTGGTTTACAAGTGGTGTGAAAGTAACTTTATGTTTGATTATTTTTAGGAAATACATTTGTATTGCACCAGTGAAATATTGATGTTGTATAATCCCCTGGGGAATTGAACCCGGGGATTTAAGTGGAGAGAGCGTAAATCCTGTACCACTCCAATAGCTGCCAACTAAGTATGCAAAATGTTTAAAACTTGGTTTTACTCTTTGGGTCCTATAAATTTGTAGCAATTTCATGAGTGTTCTGCAGTGCTATTCTCTAAGAAAACAGCCTTGCATTGCCTGCCACAGCGCCGAACATTAAACTAAGATCGTTTGAAATATGACACTACAGTGCTGCCGTAGCGTCGAATTTCAAACTGACTTAGTTTGAAATTCAATGCTGCGGCAGCTATGTACGCAAGGCTGTTTTTTTAGAGAATAGCACTGCTGTTACTGCAATAGTAACTTATGTGATTATGGTGGGTAAATTTTCAAATAAAAGTCAATGTAATGATGAAGATGTTTTGCTGTTAGATTTATACTGTATAGATTATATACTGTCTGGGATAAATTTATTAATAATCTTATAATAAGCTACAATATTACAACAAATTACAACATAAAAACTGAAGCACTGTGTTGTTAGTGTAATGATAACTAGATTTGTTCACTTATAACCAGCTCAAGTATTCAGTACACACTAGATATTGTTAACAGACATTGTAGCTCAACAGTGCAATAAATTACTTTAATTGAATACTATAACAACATGTCTTGCTATCAATAGTGACTCATAGTCTAAATGATAGAGACATAAAAACAAAAGAATGTAAACAATTAAATTTGCGCCTTTTTGTGAGTGAAATAAATATCACAGATGAAAAAAAAACATTAAAATATTGTTTATGTCTAAATTGTGAATGAGTATTTTTTTTTTTAACTAAGTCATAGGTATCTCAATTATAATGCCGGAAAACTAAACGCATGGTTAAAAATGCGTCTTAATATGAACAAAACAATCATTATAACGGTATCAAAGCAATTCACGGGTTGAGTGCCCGCGCTTGAGGTCATTTACACTGACCTAACAAAGGAAAACACGAATACACACCACCGCATGCGATTAAAATAATATACAATAAACCTATAGTAACAAAATGCGACATAACAAAATGTATCACGTTATGTACACATTACGTGCAACGAAACTTTATTAGTAATATTCAAAAATAGAATGCAACTCCCACAGATATCGTAAACGGAAACACCAAGTTATTTTCGTTGAAATTGTTAATGTATATAATTTAAATGTGGTGAAGAATATTGAGACAAAGAGATACGCTCGTAATACCTATGTCAGCTGTTTTTATCAAAACGAAAACACAAATAATGACATTTATATCGATTTGTACTCACCTCGAACTTATTCCTTCCGGAACCACTCATACTCGGGTAAGGCGTTACCTTAGCCACAATGTATGATTTAGAACACTTATTGCCAATAATTCACAGGCGAAGCGCCACAAAACAAATATGGAGGAAAAATAAATTTGATTTTTCGCAGACCGACAAGCGAGACGTCCTTCACCAGCTGCGGACTGGGTTACTAGAATTAAATATTTTTTACCTTATCTCATAATATGTGCGAATGTTTTATATTATAAAATGTTTTACATTGTTGTACATGAATGACTGAGTACTATGTTGAGACGTTTTACTGACAGTTTTACTACCCTAATTAATTTTATAAATGAAAAAGGGAGTCCATTTGTTTGTCATCCACTTACGCCTCAGCCACTTAACAAACAATTCTTATTTATGTTTTCAGAAATACATAAAATGCCCCTTTTTGGTTTTTCTGAAAACATAAATAAAAAATTAAATAAAAACAAGGTAAAAGAAATATTAGGCCCGCAAGTGGCAAAAACTTCGAACTTATTCCTCGAAAGTTTCACTGTTGATTTATAGGCTAAATTTTGTTGTTTTTAATAATTTTATGTACTGTTTTAGTTCTTAACATTAGTACAGGCTTTGAAATATAAATACAACAACTCAAAACATACATTAACATGAAGAAAAATTCTACCCTAATCAACTGCCAAAAATATTACGTTGCAACATTTACTGCGTTTCAGAGTTACACAAACGCTATTTAAAGCATAAACTTTATGACACTTCACATTAGTGACATGTTACTTTCTCTTTTGCACTACTGTGAAAACTTATGGCAGCATTCGCATTTTATGCTAAATATATATACTTATTTAGATTAAAATTAAACCAATTAAAACTTCATTAATGTTGAAAACTTGGGGATACATTTTGTTTTTCTGTTAATTAGGTATATGAATCATTTCGAGCCTTTTTTAGAATCCCCTTCTTTATCTTGACAACTGACAAACTTACTGAAACGAAATTTTGTGTAATATATTTCAAAACTCCAATTGAGTTTATAAGTGAACGTTGGAAAATCATTCATTTATAAGAGTGAGTGAATGATTGATAGAGTTGTAAGTACAAACGGAGCGGACTCATATGTCAACGAGGGATTGAATAAAATCACAATCACCTACCCCTGTGACTAATTTACAAAATTACTGGCTCTGATTATGATCACAGATTAAGAGATATGTACATAGATTATGATTACGCTAGCGCCAGACTCGCGAAAGGTCGAAATATAAAAAAAGGGTCGTAGTCTTTGATAAAAAGAAAATTCACAACAAAGTTTTGATGGCATTTATCTTTATGACCAAATCACATCAGTGATTAAGACAGTTGAAATCACAGTTGTATGAGGCATTTCCTTTCGGTACACCTGGTTCCCCGGCTAATCGTACCCGAGACGGAGTTCCGTTTTTGGCCGAATCGGTCGGAGGGGTCCACCAAGGGGATTTCCGCACAGAAAAAAAGGTGAAATCAAGCCAACGTGACTAAAACCAATTATTTCATTATATGATTATGATTTTAAAGTAGCAAAATTTCCATGCCAGATAGTGTGGACCTCTTGTGGCAGAGATTAGGGGAACTGCGGTGAAGGATAGGTTTGCGGCCTGATCGCATGGGGAAGCTTGAGGCGGGTAGGGTTTTTTTACTGGAAAATCCTCATGGATGTCCTTAGCCCATTGGGAGCAGGGGGGTCTATCTGACTCTTACCAACTAAAGTCCACCCCGGTTTTCCTCTGTTTGCCAATGGCCGGGGGAGCGAGAATCGCAATTGGATTCTTCCGCCACCCTGGTTAGACACATCGTCGATTTGGGGGAGACTTTGAAATCCCATGGTCCAGGTCCTACCCAGATTAGGGTGCCTGAGGCTAGCCGTCGAGGTGGTATTTAGTGGCAACACCACATACTCCTGGCCGCTTACGTCTCCAGGGAGCCAAAAATCCAAAATGATTTCCCACCCCGATTTCAAAAAAGCCAACATCAAATTTGATCTCGGCTGTAGCCCTGTGCCTGTCAATCCAGGCAATGGACATTGTAACACATCTGATTTTTTTTTAATTTTATTTACTGAGAAAAAAGAATCCTTACATTCATATTTAGGTTTTGAATCTGTTAAAGAAATATGCACACCTTACATATTTTCCCATTAACTCCTATTAAGAAGAATCAGAACAAAAGGACTTTTTTATTGGGACTTATCCCACCCACACGCCCACCACTGTAACTCCTGTACACCAGGATCCACAGCAGTGACCCACGAACACACCGAGTTATGACACTCGGGAAGTCCCAGGAAGAAATTAAACTGTCTTGGAACCCGCAACGAAATTAATCAGAAGAAAATTGGAGGAGTTGGAAATACAGTAAATCCACTTCCCTCCTTAGCAAAGCGGGAGACAAAATGAAGTAAAAATGGGCATACACCCTTTTAAACAGGGAAGCACCACGGCCACAAAATATTACGGGCCCTACGTGAGCTATATTAGATTTCTATAATATGTATGGCAGAATCGCCTAAACGCACGGAAATCCACTCTAGTTGACACAATAGGACTGCTAGAAATCTTCAAAATCTCGCTCTTTTATCGATGAGTGTTTATATATTGTCCGTGTGGTGACGGATTTAGAATACGCAGTGTCACCACCCTTATTCATCCCGTGGGTGTCGTAAGAGATGACTAAGGGAGCAAATTACGCAGGACAACAGCACTGCAAAGAAAAGGAAAATTTGAAACACACCCTTTTTTTTTTTTTTCTTTTTTTTAACGTGTGGAAATCCCCTCGGACCGTCACCCCACCGGGGTTTGCGGCGGGGTGGTGTGTCGGACTCGGACCGACTAAAACCACACGGTGTGCCACTCTGCGCCTGTAATAGGAGGGATCCGGGAACAGCTGTTATTAAGACATCCGGACCCCTCCTAGCGCCGACCCGCTCCTGTTGCGGGCCCCGTCTCAAAACACACCCTATACCAACCCGCCTAGCCAAGAAAAACGCGTTATCGGGGTAAAAAGTAGTCTATGTTACTCGCTGTTAATGTAGCTATCCATTAGTGAAAGAATTTTTTAAATTGGTTTAGTTGTTTAGTCTTGAAAGCGTAACAAACAAATTCATTTTTGCATTACATAATATAGTAGCTTTTGCCCGTGGCCTGGCTCGTAAGGATTTTTCTTTTGTTTTTCTAACGTTCCTTCTTTATTTTACCCATAGAAATATAAGCGTAGAGAGAAGACGGGGTACAGCTGCCTGTAAGTTCAAGCGACACAGGCAACGAGAGCGACGGATGCCCGATATTTATTCCGATCCCAAGACCATGTCGTAGGGCTAGCAGACATAGCGCATATACTCCTTCACAACTCCAATCCCACTACACACACAAACATACATAAACACACACAGACACATACACACACACACACACACACACACACACACATACGCACACACACACACCCCGGTTTTGTTAATGTTACAATTATTACTACTCCCGTTCGTTTATTTTTCTTTTTTTTTTTTGAATTTTGTACTCTTGCACAACTATATTGTAACCACCTCACTAAGGTATTTTGAAATGTCAAGACGAGGTCCTAGTAGGGACCTGGTATCCTGTAACACTGGTTTTTATACCTACCTCAGGCACCAGCGATCCACTACTGAAATTGACAAATGTTATAGCGTAATCGTATTTTCATTGTATGCATTTTGGTTTTGGTGCGAAATAAATTATTATTATTATTATTTCCCTCTGTCTCTGTTTAGCTAAGCTGCGCTTGTCTGTCGTGAAGTGGGCATGGTTTTGGCAACCACAGAGCTCGACTAGAAAGAGATAGAGGGAACTATCCATCTCTCTCATTGCCTATATTGCAAGATTGAGTCTCTTGTTCACTCTACGCTTATATCTTCATGATTTTAAACTCTTAGATTTACCCCCTTTTTTTTATTTTTGTTTATGTTAGAGGGGGCAGACGTGCAGACGGGTCACCTGATGGAAAGTGACTATCGCCGCCCATGAACGTCTGCAACTCAGGAGTCACAAACGCGTTGCCGGCCTTTTAGGAAGGAGTACGCTCTTTTCTTGAAGGTTTGAAGGTCGTATCGGTCCGGAAATACGCAGACGATAACCCGTTCCACAGATTAGTTGTACAGGGCAAAAAGTGTCTCGAAAAGCTCACAGTAGTGGAGCGCCAACTATCCAGGTAATGAGGATGAAAATTGTGCCGTATGGAACGACGGCCGAAATTTGCGGCTGGCATTAGTCCGAACAATTCCTCGGAGCACTCTCCATGATATATGCGATAGAGAATGCAGAGTGAAGCCACATCTCTACGTAACGCCAAGGGATCGAGCCGATCCGAGATGTTTGGTCTATCGACGATTCGAGTCGCTCTTCGTTGGATGCGGTCCAGAGGGAGAAGCTGGTACTGAGGTGCCCCTGCATGGAGATGAGAACAGCATTCCATATGCGGCCGGACTTGCGCCTTAAAGAGCTGAAGGCGGTGGGCCGGAGTGAAATACTGCCTCGCTCTGTTCAGTACACCGAGCTTCTTCGAGGCCAATTTGACCTTACCCTCTAAGTGACCCCGAAACTGGACTTCGCTCGATATGTCGATACCTAGGATTCCGATGCTGGCTGAGGCAGTTAGGGAGGTACTCTCAAACCGAGGTGATACGACAAATGGTTTCTTTTTTTGCGGTGAACGCACATACCTGTGTCTTTTTTTGGGTTAAATTGGACTAGATTTAGACTTACAAAATAAAAGGTATCACCTACAATAATTGTAGCTCCAGCGGTTTAGGGTCAGCGTTGATGACTCAGTCAGTCAGTAATTTTCTGTGTATAGAAGTATGAATGTCATGAAAAAAAAAAACAAATTACTCATCCAATAATATATTTCAATAATCAAAGCGTTATATCTAAGACTTAAATGGATCAGAAATAGGATTTTCCACCCTCTCAAAAGGGTAGTAAGTATTCTCCTGCCAGAATGATGGGAGTGTGTATCTGGTGTTGGAATTGAACTTATTTATCTCTTCTATTTCTTTTGGCTCCAGTTTGAAGTCGAAGATGTTGAGGTTTTCAGCCAGCCGCTTAGGGCTTACAGTCTTTGGTAGCGGGACAACGTTTCTGTCGACCTGAAATTAAAAAATATTAGTGTCAAAAATGACAAATGTCAAAACGACAAATGTCAAAATTTATGTGACAGGTTAAATTCATAGCCGTTGAAACGTAGAGACTGGATTATGATATTGGAGATAGTGCTCGGCTACTGTCAGTTGGTCATCATGAAATTTTGCCTACACATTGTAGGGGGTTCAAAAAGGATAAATGGTACACGTATAATCAGCATTACCCGTAGGTATCGCACAAAAGTAATAACAATATGAGTATTCCGTGCAAACAGTCTACGCACACTAACACACAAGTTGGCGGCCGGAAAATAGGCCCCGCGCGCTTTTGGCTGTTTGATTATTTACATTGCAGTTTTTGACCGTATGCGGGACTCTGCTTAATCTCTCTCTGCTCTGCTCTCGGTAAAATGTTCTGTTTAGTCATTGTGATATCATTTTTAATCAACAAAATGGAAAATTATAAAAAAACAAAATTTATGAATTTTCTTGCAGAAAATTTCAAGATTTTCGACTCAGAATCTTGATCTGAATGTACTATTTCAGTATTCGTTACAACATCCCTTACACCCTGTACAAGTATATCAAATTCGGTCAGTAGTTCTAGAGGTTAGCATGGACAACCAACAAACCTATTTTTTAGTTTTATTCTACTATTATACCGAGTGATTAATTCGTTTCAAAAAATACTTTGAATAAAACAAAGAAAATTCAACTCACCGCCCACCGTAAGACAACTTGTGCCGTGGTCTTGCCATATTTTTGAGCTATTGACACGAGAGTTGGGTCATCAAATTTGGGCCCAGGGTACTGGAATCCGAACCTCATGACAAGAGACCCGAACGGGCTGTAACCCTGAACAATGATGCCTTCTGACTTACATAGCTCCAACAACTCTGTTTGGATCATTTGAAGATGGACCTGAAAACATAAAATGTTTAAAAATAACATTAACTTTTTAAATTACCACTTTTTTTTTATTTCTCTAACTGCCAGCGTGTGTATTTTTAGGCCGAATAAGAACAAAACTTTTGCTATCAATGCTCAACAAGAAGTAAAAGGTTGACCATTGTCTCTCACGAATGACAGATGGATTGGATGGCGGTTGCGGTTATGCATTAGTTAACAGTTTGTTTTGTTATAATTTTTACGTTTGCTTTGAGTACGTAATGAAGAATTATGAGATTTCTACGAATACAAAGAGAAATTGATAGATTACGTCATATTCAGACTAAAAGCGTTACCTATTTACCTACTGATATATCTAGTGAATAAAAAATATTATATTTTATTTTTAGTATTGCCAACATTCAATAAAAATATCTACTAACATAAAATAATTTAGTTTATGTTTTAAATGCAGGATTTAAAAATAGTTTTCTAAAGAATTGCTAATTCCTAATTTTAGCTGCCATAATGGATTTTACTCGGAATAAAAAACCAACGTCCATACAACAAGTGGACAACTTCTTTGCCGGAGCATGGCTCTCCGATTGGCTGGCTTATATTATTAACTTCGTCAGTTTATTGGCTTAATATTTCAAGAGTATAGAATATCTACATACCTCAATCTGCAGAGCTACCGGCTTCACACTTCCTTCAGAGATCACTCTTCTTAACTGTTCCTTGTTGAAATTCGCTACACCTATGGACTTCGCCAGACCAGACTTCTGAATCTTTTCCATAGCTCGCCACGTCTCCATGTAGTCTACATCAGATATGGAGTTGTCTTCCTATAGTGATTAATAAATATATTTATAATAATAATAATTAAACACATCTTACAGATGGTCGTCTCATTCCAAACTAGCAGAGTCTGTTTTTTTTTCTGTGTGGAAATTCCCTCGGATACCACGGTGGAGTGGTAATGACAGACTGGAACCGGCCAAAAACCCAGTAGAAAGGAAATCCCTGGTACCCAACGTACCTCGGGCCATCTACGGCGTTTAGACGATCCCCTAAATAGGCAGAGCCTATACTATAGTAACCAGACTGCTGATGAACACACTTATATATTTCTAAATACATACATATTATAGATAAATTACACCCAAACACACAACAAATGATCGTGCTCATCATACAATAGTTCTGGGTGGGAATCGAACCCACGACCACTGGCTTAGGAGCCAGTATCTCTAACCACTACACCAATAGGCCAGGAGCAAATAACAGGCTTATTTAAATAATAATACATCCACTTATCATCCTATTTTAGACGTCACTATACCAGGGGCATTAATTAGCTATTTTATCATAAAATATGCATACTTACATTCAACCCTATTGGCCAATGCATAAGGTACAAATCAATATAATCCAGTCCAGTCTTGTTTAATGAGTCCATGAAAGCAGGGAGGACTTGGTCTGGTTTATGCGCCGTGTTCCATAACTGCAAGAAAGGATATTTTGTTTTTTAAATATATATTTTTTTAAAGGCAACTCCCGTATTAGGAGTATGTCCTGTGTCGCGGGGGACTTTACAAACATATATGAAACGGACACAAAGGACACCCAAACTCAGAACAACATCTGTGGATCACACAAAGTGCCGTCCCAGGTGGGGATCGAACCCACAACACTCGGTGTAGTAGGGAGCGGCGAAGTGACCGCTTAACCATGCTTCGGCACAAAATGGGTTAGTTCCAACGATATGACACCAGGCGCGGTACCCTGTAATTTTAGAGGGGGTAAATGATAATTTTTTTTTCATGACGACAACGACGACGGGGTCAGCGTAACTTTCCCCATTTTTGTAATGAGTTTTCACAAATATAAGGGAGAAAACTACGCAGGACAACAACACTGCAGAGAGAAGGAAAGCTTGAAACAAACCCTATACCAACCCGTCTGGCCAGCGTGGTATAGTAGGCCAAAACCTCCTTTCTAAGGGGAGGCCACTCTTACTGAGACACCCTTTAGAATGGCAAACGAGCAGAAGGTTCGCCTAATAGAAATGAATTGATATTTATTTCTGCAAGTAAATCTTTTCAGATATTTCAAGCCATATCCAGCCTCAAAGAATCAGGGAGAGAGAGGGCAGTTTAAGCTAAGCAGAGCTGATACTATGGCGCGCAGGCACTTAACTCCTGCTAGCTACTATGATAAGTAAATATGAAACCTCTACTAGCCATCCACGCTTCTGCAGCAGCCAGTAGCCAACCGCAGTTGCCACCGGCAGGCATTTAGGAGATCTTCCCCTGTGCCTTCTCCACTCTCTTCTGCAAGACAAACTGAACTATAACCTAAATCCCCCAAGAAGAAACCTCACCTTGGTAGTCACAAAAACGTGTTCTCTTTTAATAACTCCTTCAGCAATCTTCATTCTGATGGCCTCTCCTATATCTGCCTCTGTTCCGTAGACGGATGCTGTGTCAAAATGGCGATACCCTATGTCTATAGCTTGGAGGGCAATATCTCGAATTTCTTTGTTTTTAGGCTGGACAACTCCATCCTATAAATATAAAAAAATAACACCTTAAAAAGCGTAACTCTTACATTCATTGACTGAACCCAAAAAGTAGAAGCTTATCAATTCAACTGAATACTTTTTACATAGCTACATCATCAACATTCTCATCACCTCCAGGTAATCAAACTTGGCGGGCCGGGATCCAATATCGCACACATCTCACACACGGCCATCTGATCACAAACTAGGCAGAGCCTGTACTATGGTAACCAGACTGCTGATAAACATACTTATATATTTCTAAATACATACATATTATAGATAAATTACACCTAGACACAGAACAAATGACACACGGTCTTCTGTCACATGTTAGTCTATTGCAAGGAACTTGGGTATACCCTAGGAAGGCAGTCACACAATTAAGTGCAGAATGCATTACCCTCCTTCCGATTTAGATCTCAGATCTGTTTCTGCTAGATCCTGGAAATACTAACAGTCCAAGTCTTTTTTCCAAAATCTTTATTAAGCTTTAACTCAAACTTCAGTGGCCTCAGGGAGTAGAAGTATTTAAATATTCTTACCTTATCAAAACCCAAATAGGTGCCAAGTGCGAGCGCAGGCATCTCCCTGCCGTCCAACATCTTTAATGTTGGAACTTTGATCGAGGAGGACATCTGCGGACAAGAAAAATTTGTCACCATAATCATCAACAGCCTTCAAGTCCACTGCTGGACATAGGCCTCTCCTCAGAAAGTTAGTTTTAGTCTACTATACCACGCAGGCCTGGTGATTGTACAGATTTTTACACCATGACTAGCTGACCTGGCAAATGTTGTTTTGCCTTAAACATTATTTCTAGGAAATAATGTCATTTAGGGGTATGAAAAATAGATGTTGACCGATTCTCAGACTTACCCGATGTGCACACAAAATTTCATAAAAATCGGTCCAGACGTTTCGGAGGAGTATGGTAACTAACATTGTGACACGAGAATTTTATATCTATACTAATATTATAAAGCTGAAGAGTTTGTTTGTTTGTTTGTTTGAACGCTCTAATCTCAGGAACTAATGGTCCGATTTGAAAAATTCTTTCAGTGTTAGATAGCCCATTTATCGAGGAAGGCTTTAGGCTATGTATCATCACGCTAAGACCAATAGGAGCGGAGCACCGATGAAGAATGTTTCAAAAACGGATAAAATTTATTACTATTGAGAGACGCAGCGGTCAGCTAGTATAAGATAAGTCAACATTAGACTAGACTCCTATAGTTTATGTAGTCATTTATTACATATTTTTTGGAGTTCACTCCTTCAGAATTGATTTTCATACATATGTATGAAAAAGACATGACGAGCAAGAAGTAAAATTTAGTGATCGAATGACCTCGTTACGTTTTTTAGTTCCGAATGTAATTTATAGATGGCATTTATAATGTAATTTATGGATCTCAGGTTCTTCTCGTAGACCCCAGCTAGGATCTCGGGGTGACTTCTCCAGGCCACGGCCTGTTTAAGTGGTTTTCCGCCCCGCCTGCCACTACAGGCGGGTCACTGGGTTAGGCCCGGATGGGCCTGTTGGTAGTTCCGGGGGGTGATTAGTCCGGTGGGGAGCGTGGCTAATGAGGTCAAGTCAGTGCGGGTGGGCCCCGCAGACAAACAGCTTACTAGCTCCGCCCGGGTTTCGTCCAGTGTATCACCCTGTGCTTGGCGAGGTCGAGCTCCGAGGGATGGTGACCCCGAGGAGCGCCCATCAGCCAGCATCAGGTCAGGTGTTGTGGATGATCCAGTAGGGTTTGTCACGGAGACTAAGTCTCGCGGCAAGCCATGCCTGTCCGGCGGTCGACGATGATAGGGCGCAAGCTCCTGCAGGTGGCGGGCTTGCGAGCCGTCAGCACGCACGAACAGGTTTGTGCTCAAGCGTCTCACGAAATCGTCCAGGCTCTCCACGCGCAGATCCTTGGATATCGTCCTGTTCCGCACAAAGCGAGGGGCGTTGGCAAGGGTGCGTAGTGCGAGCGACTGTTGCGCACGCAACCGGCGTCGGTTCGTTTCGGATACGAGCGCGAACCAGGCCGGAGCACCATATGTGAGTCGGGTGCGAATGTACGCCTTGTACACACCGAGCTTAGCACGGAGCGGCAATCGGGACGATAGTACGGGCCGCAGAAGGGAGCGTTCGGCACGAACCTGGGCTACGACATTTTTGACTTGGGGCTTCATAAAGAGGGTGCGGTCGATGGTTACGCCGAGGTATTTCACCGTCGCGGACCACTCGATATTCTGGCCCATGAGCTTCAACTGTGGTAGGGTCACGCTTCCGATGGAGATCGCCTGAGTCTTTGCCACGTTGACCGTCAGTCTCCAGTCCTTCAGCCAGCTGGGAAGTGCGTCTAGAGTGCGCTGCATCTTGGTAGTAGCGTTAGCACCTTTTAGTGACGTCACGATGTAGGCAGCGTCGTCGGCGTACAGCGCGAGTTTCACGCCGTCGGTAACGGGGATATCGTCTGTGTACCAAGAGTAGCACACGGGAGACATGCAACTTCCCTGCGGCACACCGGCAAAGATCGGTCGCTCTGTGGACAGGGCGTCTTCAACTGCCACTTGAAAGCGTCTGTCCTGCAGGAAGGTGGCCACAATCTTCACTACTCGGCGGGGAGTAGTAGATGTGGACAGCTTGTACAGCAGGCCGGCGTGCCAGACGCGGTCGAACGCCTTCTCCATGTCGAGGAAGACTGCTACAACCCGCTCGCGCTTGTTGCGTGCAACCGTGATGTCATGCAGTACCCTCGCGAGCTGGTGCGTCGTGGAGTGTTCGGCGCGAAATCCGAACTGTTCGTCGCGTGGCTGAAGGTGTGGTGTCATGTGCAGCAGTAGCAATTTCTCGAACAACTTCGACGTCGTTGAGAGGAGATTAATGGGGCGATAGCTTCCCGGTAAGAGGATACTCTTCCCCGGCTTGGGCAGCATGATGACTCTGCCAAGTCGCCATGCGGTGGGAAAGTGTCCGGTGCGGAGGATGCCATTTTGTTTTTTTCTTTTAATAAGCCATCTAAGGACACTTGGGTTTTTGAAGCGGATAAAACGTACCTTAATTGTAGAAATTCATCGCTATTTAATAGATATCATTAATATATAGCCATAATAAAGAAACTTACAAACAAACAACAAGATACGCGCGGAAAACCTAACCCTTCCTTGGCAGTCGAGTAGAACTGTTTTCATTTGATCCCGAGTCAGCAGTTAACGACCAAAAAATTATTAAAATTAAATTCAGTTTATACATGATAATAAAATGCGTTTCAATTTTAAATTTAAAGCCAATGTAAACAATACGCCATATGTTACGCATTAATCATGGCGTCATATCGGTACATGTCACATACTAGATTTCCCGCCCAACTACGTCTGTTTCTCTAAAAATAAATAATTTTTTCCCGTTTTCACAACAATTATAATTGAACTCGGTCCCTATTGGTCGTAGCATGATGTTATATAGCCTATAACCTCCCTCGATAAATGAGTTATCCAATACTGAAAGAATTATTCAATTCGAACTAGTCGTTTCTGAGATTAGCGCGTTCAACGAACCAAACAAGCGAACTTTTAATATTAAGTATTAGTGTATATAGTGTATGTCCTTGAAAGTTGTAGACAGAAGGGTCTTAATCATCATCGTCATCATCATCATCAATAGCCTTTACTAGTCCACTGCTGGACATAGGCATCTCCTTAGAAAGGAGCTTGTTGCTCATGGAACATGGATGGAACAGCTCAACCGGAGTGATACGACAGCCATACGATGTTATCAATTGTTTCGTTGCCGAGTGAGTGAGGGGTTACCAGGATTCAAATCCTCCTTCTGATTCTAGAGGGGGGGGGGGGGGGAGGCTCAAACAGTTATGACATTTCTTTTGTTTAAAAGACAACTCCCACATTAGGAATATATCCTGTGTCGCGGGCACTATACAAACATACATGAAACATATACACGAAGTGGTGTCCCATGTGGGGATCGAACCCACCACACTCACCACCCTTGTTTACTTGTTCCGAGTCTCGGTATTTGTTGTGTTCCATGAATGTTTGTAAAATCCCCGCGACATAGGATATATATCCCAGTGGGGGACTTATGTTTTAAAAGAGACAAAATAAGAAAGTAAAATACCCTACACTAGTTTTAAGCAAACAAGTACCAGACAGGGTTAAAGGCTGTATGTAAAAGCACAAAAAAATAAACTAACAACATAAAACAAAACTTATAATCGACTTCAATGCGCTTACATCGCGGCAACGTGATTATTTGTACTGTAACTGTATTCTTCATTACTTTATTTTCACACTTAGGGGTTGAATTTCTACTTTATATTTGAATGCGAATAAACGGGAAGTATACTCTTGCAAATAAAACAATGATTTTTCACATCAATAAATAATTAACGGAATTTTGAGGTAACAGACATCAAAGGAAAATACAGTTGAAAAAAAATGCCATATTTATGTGCTAATAATTATATAATAATGGTTGCATAATATTATAAGGGTTTTCGTAAAATTTTCAATTTAAGTTACAATGGTCAATGAAATTTATGAAAATGTTCAAAACGGGTAAAATTCAACTGTCAGACTATGCCTTTTAATTGGGACTAAATTCCTTCCACACACCCACTACCGTAACTCCTGCACATCAGGATCAACAGCAGTGACCCACCAACACACCGAGTTATGACACTCGGGAAGTCCCAGGCAAACATAAACTGTATTAGAGCCCGCAAGGAAATTAATCAGAAGTAAATTTGAGGAGTTGGAAATATGCACTTCGCCTGTTAACTAAACGATGTCAAAAATGTCTATGTAACGGAATCTTTGAATATTATTTTCACCCACTTTAAAACGTCGGATTCAATTGAAACTTCGCACACTTATCAAGGACGGATGACAATGCAATAACTTAATAAGTTTTTCCAATTATTCTGCTCAGGATTTTCAGGATTAACGACTTTTACCATATCTAAAAATACGGTAGGGTCTTGTGTCACGTACTAACGCGTGTACTAAAGCATAGGTGACTTATTTATTTGTTGCTTTGTAGTCTCTAATAGGAATAAAAACCCCTAAGTACTAAAAAAGCGGAATAAAATAATAGTTAAAAAACTAAAAGAATACTAATACGTTTTACTTTTCCCAATATCTGTAATAAAATATTTACAAGAATTGATATCTCCGCACGCCTTTTTACTATAAAATGGCGTCCTAGTTCGGCAAAAGCGTGTTTTATTTAACTAATATTTTTATGAGATATATACACTTATAAAGATTGGTATAACTTACATATATATATTGTTTTAACCAGCAATGTTTACGCCAGGACAGTTCACGAGTTACTGAATGACCATTATAAGACTGATTCTAATTGAACGGTCGTGGACCTCTAGTACAAAGCATATATACATGATTCTGTGTTGAAACATGTTGTTAAGTTTTAAATACTTATCCTTATACTTGATATCGTTATATTATAACAACTTTTTTCTGTGACTTTGCTCGTTATAAATAGATTTAATTGGCCTGAACGACTACAAGGCTAGACGTCGTGGGTTCTATTCCGACAAATAAATGTGTGATGACCACGATCATTTGTTGTGTCTGGGTGTTATCTATACAAATAAATAAAAATTGGAGTGTCTGTTTGTAATATTAAAATAACCGCTTTTTACTAAATGCATATGTATGTATACACGGTACATATGCCAAAATAACATTTTTTACAATTTTTGTCTGTCTGTCTGTTTGTTCCGGGTAATCTCTGGAACGGCTGGACCGATTTCGACGGGACTTTCACTGGCAGATAGCTGATGACATAAGGAGTAACTTAGGGTACTTTTTTTAGACTAGCTTCTAGTTATAACTAACTAGTTATTACAACAAACGCGGGTAACACCGCGGGTCTCAGCTAGTCTTAATATAAATATTTTTTGACTGCACGGATGGCGTAGTGGTTTAAACGGTTACCTCGCCGCTTACTACCACGCTGAGTGTTGTGGATCCGATCCCCACATAGGACAACACTTGATGTGATCCACAAATTGTTGTTCTGAGTCTGGGTGTTATTTTTGTCAGTTTTATATACATTTGTAAAGTCCCCCGCGACACAGGATACATTCCTAATTATTACACTATTACAAAGACATCAAAGACATTTGTATCAGTGACATCAGGAGACCATTGGTCTTTGATAGTTAGTAGAATAAGAAAAGTGCAAAACTATTCCGACGACATTCCATCGACAGTCAATTGGTACAATATTAAAATAGCAGGATTGAGGACAACTGGGTCGGCTTGATCGGAGAGACCAGGGCCTTCACTGAGGGAGTAAGGTTATTAGAAGAGGTTATACCGAATGGCGTAGTAGTTTGTGTAACAGGCTGCTATTCCAAAGGTCGCGGGTTCGATTCCCGCCCAAGTCAAACATTTGTGTGCATGAACATTTAATGTTTCATTTGGTCTGGGTGTTTCTAGGTATAATAAGTATGTATTTACAAAAAAAAGTATATATGTATTTATATCAGTTGTCTAGTACCCATAATACAAGCTCTGCTTAGTTTGGAACTAGATGGCGTTTGTGTGAATGTGGTACAATATTATATTATATTATATATATTATTATATTATATTATAGCCTACAAAATGAGGGTGTTTGGTACGTCTAAGTCCACCCCTTATCTCTGAAGGGGTATATATATATATATGTGTATAAAATTACTAAAGATTACCACTGGATATAAACAGTGAGGTACACAAAATGATTCACTGGATTATTTGTAGCAAAAACACAGATAAAACACATTTATTTACACATGAGGTAATTATCGTTTATTGACCAATTCAATCCTTTGGCTGTATTTATTAATGCGCATTCTGTCGACAGGCTTGGCAGGTGTGGCGTCGGATTCAGAATAGCAGGTATCGCCACTCCTATTCATCCCGTGGGTGTCGTAAGAGCCGACTAAGGGAGAACTACGCAGAACAACAGCACTGCAAAGAGAAGGAAAACTTGACACAAATCCTATACCAACCCGTCTGTCCAGCGTGGTATTGTAGGCCAGAACCTCCTTTCTAAGGAGAGGCCAATGTCCCGCAGTGGACTGTTAAAAGCTGTTGATGATTCTGTCCATAGGTAATCAGAAAGTTGTGTATTCGATCCCACACCCAGGACAAATATAATTTTGTGAAAAGCCAGAAAAAAATTGGTTAAAAGTGGTTTTCTTTGTGGCCGTGGTATCTGTTCGAGCTGGCCAACATGTGCCGAAACATTTCGTAGCCACGTATATTTTTTTTTCCACATTCACACAACGCCATCTAGTCCCAAACTAAGCAGAGCTTGTACTATGGGTCCTAGACAACTGGTATAAATACATAATATATATATGTCGCAATTACGTAATATCCGAAACGCCAGCGCCACCTGTCGGCGCTTGACGGAGTCAATGTTTAAAGGCCGAACGGCGCGCATGAACACTTGTTGTGTGGCAGTCGGACAGAGCGGTTGCATATTGAAACCGTCACGCGTTCCTGGCGATATACGTTTAGCTATAGTCGTGCGTCTATTTGTAATAAATCTACATTGTGAAATCATTGGACATTATAATTTAATCAAGTGAACTAAATTGTTTCGTTGCGCCAACATTACCTATCGACGCTCGCAGTTAGTAAGTGAGGAACTATGGGCCCTATTGAGGATAATGATCGTACTACCCCGTCATATAATTTTTTTTGTAAATACATACATATTATACGTAGAAACACCCAGACTAAATCAAACATTAAATGTTCATGCACACAAATGTTTTATAGCAGTCCATCACACAAACACTATGCCATTCTGTCGTCATCTATACAAATAAATAAAATTTCAGTGTCTGTTTGTAATATTAAAATAACCGCTTTTTACTAAATGCATATGTATGTTTACACGGTACATATCCCAAAATATATTTTTTTTACAATTTTTGTCTGTCTGTCTGTTTGTTCCGGGTAATCTCTTGAACGGCTTTACCGATTTCGACGGGACTTTCACTGGCAGATAGCTGATGACATAAGGAGTAACTTAGGCTACTTTTTTTAGACTAGCTTCGCCCCGCGGCATTGTCCGCGGTTATAACAACAAACACGGGTAACACCGCGGGTCTCAGCTAGTTTATTATAATTTTACTATTTCAATGTCACATTCCCGCCCGCGCCAGTGCGTTTGAAAACATGCGCGCAGATAATTCTCCATTTATTAATATTTATATATATATATATAAATATATATATAACTAATGATAAGTTTAATAATATTCTTTTAATATTTTAAAGTTTGTCATTAGTGACTAGCTGACCAGAGCAATTTCGTCTGTTACTTTCAAACGGAATTAATTTTGTCCGTTTTTGCATTGATGCTTGGCTCCTATTGCTCTTAGCGTGATGATATATAGCCTATAGCCTTCCTCGATAAATGGGCTATCTAACACTGAAAGAATTTTTCAAATCGGACCAGTAGTTCCTGAGATTAGCTCGTTCAAACAAACAAACAAACAAACTCTTCAGCTTTATAATATTAGTATAGATTGGAATCTCTTGTTAAACTCAAACCTCAAAATATCTTTCATTTATACATTTTTAAAATTGTTTGAAATCGTCTTTATGTGGACTTTAAAGCCATAGATGAACAGCAAAAATCTCTGTTTTATCAAATATTTAGCAAAATAAATAATAATTTATTTGCCAAAACATTTTAGATTCAAGGTAAACATGTTTCTAGGTATCATAACCATCACATTATTTCATTGAACTCTGGTACCCAAGGTAAGATTAAACTTGTAGTATGGGTAACCAGGGCTCTCGCATATAATAAAAATACCTATCGAAAATCTATGATATCTTTGTATCGATCTATAACCACCTTCAAAGTATTTTGTAATTAACAGATAGATACAATGACATCATTAAATATATCACAACATTGTTTTAATGTGTGCCAGTATGTCCGTTATTAAGGATTATTAAGTTATACCTGTGTTAGGAAACTCCAAAACGAATTTATAACTATACTAGCTGACCCGCGCAACTTCGTCTGCGTCTCTCAATAGTAATAAATTTTCTCCGTTTTTGAAACATTCTTCATTGGTGCTCCGCTCCTATTGCTCTTAGCGTGATGATATATAGCCTATAGCCTTCCTCGATAAGTGGGCTATCTAACACTGAAAGAATTTTTCAAATCGGACCAGTAGTTCCTGAGATTAGCGCGTTCAAACAAACAAACAAACAAACAAACTCTTCAGCTTTATAATATTAGTATAGATTTAATAAGAAATTAAAACTCTTACCACTCCTTGTAACAGAGTAAACAGGATAAGTCCAAACACTACCATCTTACTACCGTGAATGTACCTACGACACACTGCTATGTAGATTTATATTTATTTTACAACAGACTTTAAGACACTTTGACCTTACGCGACGCGACGGTATCGCAAAAGCTGACTAATTATAAAAACTAGACATAGCTTGGGGGAGAAGTTTGACCGTTTTGACTGTCAGGGATTCCTAAACTATTTTGGGTAAGAGACCTTTTTTTCCAAAATAAACTGATACTGCAGACCGCATAGCCAAATTATCTCGAGTTTTTTTTTTCTATTGATGATTTTTACCAATATAAAATCTTTCCGGTTAGTTAAGTGAGTAAACTTGATATCATTGAACTTGTTCATCGATTCATAAGTTCTTCCCAAGGTCCATCGCCGAACTGAAAACTACAAATCGAACCGAAAAATATAGATGCGTAAAACAATACATCTTTTTTTTAAACGCTAGGAATGCTTTTCGCACCATACCCTCCCTTGGGGAAACGGAGGACGTGTGTAACGAACCGGTCTACGCACTGAATCTCCTCGGCAGTCATGAGGAACTCCAGGAATGCATCGATGGCTTCTAGAGGCTTAACTGCTGTGCCCCACGATTGAGGCACATCCCAGAGCAACCACGATCACCCCTAGGGCGGGATGCACCCGCCTTATAAAGTTATATAATGCCTTGACTGATTCACTTCGAATCGCAGAACTTAAACCGCTGGGGCTACAAACTTGAGATTTTCGGAGCTGATGCTTGTATGTTGTAATTCTTGCTCCTGACTTCTAAGCCTGAGGTCTTGGGTTCGATTCTCAATCAGGACAATTATATCATCACATCACATCAACAGCCATTAATAGTCCACTGCTGGACATAGGCCTCTCCTTACAAAAGAGGTTGTGGCCTACTATACCACGCTGGCCAGACGGGTTGGTACAGGGTTTGTGTCAAGTTTTCCTTCTTTTTGCAGAGCTGGTGTCCTGCGTTGTTTTGCGCCCTTAGTCGCCTCTTACGACACCCACGTGATGAATCGGGGTAGTGACATTCCGTATTCTTAATCCGTCACTACACGGACAAGGACAATTATATTAAAAGGAAATCAAACATATTCCGAATCCGTCTGGCTGGTCTATCTAAACAATTTAGGTACTTAATGAAAAATATAAGAATACTAGCTGACCCGGCAGACTTCGTACTGCCTCAATTGATAAATAAAAGACTTAAACTTTTGTATAAAATAAACAAACAAAAGGAATCCTTTTTTTATGAAAACAATTCAAAAATGCTCGGAATAAAAAAAAAATCGAGCATTTTCATATTTATTCACCTTTTAAACCTTCTCTGGACTTTCACAAATAATTCAAGACCAAAATTAGCCAAATCGGTCCAGCCGTTCTCGAGTTTTAGCGAGACTAACGAACAGCAATTCATTTTTATATATATAGAGATTTAGGTAAGAGATTAAGGGAGCTAGACGTAACATTAAACTTAATAAATAATAAAAGAAAGGGTTTTTGGAATTTTCAACCCCTTGACGAATGGCGTAGTGGTTTGTGTAACGGACTGCTATTCCAAAGGTCGCGGGTTCGATTCCCGCTCAAGTCAAGCATTTGTGTGCATGAACATTTAATGTTTGATTTGGTCTGGGTGTTTCTATGTATAATATGTATGTATTTACAAAAAAAAAGTATACATATATGTATGTATATCAGTTGTCTAGTACCCATGGTACAAGCTCTGCTTAGTTTGGGACTAGATGGCGTTGTGTGTGAATGTGGTAGAATATTATATTATTAAGAGGGTAAAATGAGGGATGAACGGTTGTATAAACGAAATAAATAACTCTCGCTCAAACTATCGCAACTAAACCAAATTTAGTAGCGGACAGACAGACACTTTCGCATTTATAATATTATTTATTTATTTATCAACTTTATGCACATAAGTACAATGGCGGACTTAATGCCATAGGCATTCTCTACCAGTCTACCTTAGGGTGGTGTGGAAATGAGTGTGGAGGTGCACTACCCTTTGGTTGAGAATTATAAAGTGGACATAAAAGAAGTAGTGATAGCAATACTGAGCAAAAAGCAATTAAATAATATATAAATACCAACGCATACATACAAGAATACATACATTCATATTCATATATATTGTGTTATATATATACACATACATTGTATACCATAATATATTAAGTATCATATTTGTGATGATTCCGCTACATTCATATACGCTACATAATAATATTAAGTACCTATATAACAACTATGAAATTATGTTTGTAAACTTTTACTTGTTAACAATAAAAACATTATTATTCCTTTCACATATTTGTCAAGCAAAGCCGTGTTAGCAGTATGTCTATCTTTAACGTAACATAAGTATGTTTTATTTATTCCTTTAAATAAGTCGTACGTGAAGTTATTTTTAGAAAACCACACTTCTTTAGTCAAAACACGTTTAAAAAACATCCAATCAAATAGTTCTTTTTTACGAGATTCTTGTAAAAAAGGAATATGTACGAGCTTGGCGCCTCATTTTGTAATCAAAACCTGTTACGCCGTTTCATGGTGACTGGCCGTGATAAGCTTAGTATTACATCCTGGAGCTGGCGACCTTGGACGAGACATCGTCTCACCATGAGCTTTAATCACTACAGTACAGTATTTTTTATCCGACTGCGTCAGAAGGAAGTTATGATAGTTTTTTTTATGGTAAAGGGGGCAAATGAGCAGACGGGTCATCTGATGGTAAGCAACTACCGCCGCCCATGGACACCTGCAACTCAAAAGCCACAAGTGCGTTGCCGCCCTTGGAGTCTCTCTCGCTCGAGTCAGCGGGAGCGGGGATTTGGGCTCCGGTAACCTCACTCAGTCAGTCAAGGGAACGAAAGAATTGCTTAACACCGGTTTTCTGTGAGCCCGTGGTATCACTCCGGTCGAGCCGGCCCGTTCGTGCCGAAGCATAGCTCTCCCACGATGGACTGTGTTGTAATACTGATGTTGTAATAGTTTTTTTCTTACAAAAGGTTTACTAGCAACCGAAATTGCTATTATTACCGTGAACCCCTCCCGCTAAGCTAAATTGCTTGTGTTAAGAGTCTGTTCACGTCGGTAGCGGGTCAGGATTCGAACCCAAGACCTTTTGATCGCAAGTCCAATGCCTTAACCACTAGGCAACCTCCGCTTAATCTTATATATAAAATTCTCGTGTCACAATGTTAGTTACCATACTCCTCTGAAACGGCTGGACCGATTTTTATGAAATATTGTGTGCATATCGGGTAGGTCTGAGAATCGGCCAACATCTATTTTTCATACCCCTAAATGGTAAGGGTGACCCATCCCTATTTTTTTTTTGTTTTGCAATACCACGTTTGCCGGGTCAGCTTTTAAATGTATATACTTAAGTATGTGTTTGAGCTTCAGAAATATTGTTATTTCTTAGGAACATGCTGTAGTCTAAACGACTTCATATATTTTGGCGTTATTAAGGTGTCTTTAGATTCGTCTCACAGTGAGAGTAACACTAGTTATATAAAAATAAATCCCGCAGTCGGTATTTTGTTCCTTTTAAACTTTCGCGTTCCATGATAATTAATATTATTTAACGGGAATTAACGCGATCTCTTATTTAGGGTATTACATACCTCTGGTTTGCCTGACGTTTCGACCAGGTTGCACCGGCCGTGGGCCTGTCACCACGCGTTAATTCCCGTTAAATAATATTAATTTTGTTCCTTTTCAATAATACTTTAGCTTGTTATCCAAGTCTTAACAATATCTTCCACTTACTTACCTTTTTTTTTATGTCAGAGGGGGCAGACGAGCAGAGGGGTCACCTGATAGAAAGTGACCATCGCCGCCCATGAACGTGTGTAACTCAGGAGTCACAAACGCGTTGCCGGCCTTTTAGGAAGGAGTACGCTCTTTTTTTGAAGGTTTGAAGGTCGTATCGGCCCGGAAATACCGCAGACGATAACCCGTTTCACAGATACCTATAGGATTTCTTCTACATTTAAACATAAAGCATTCCAAATCTTGAAATTGAGTTTGTTTGTTACGCTTTCAGGCCTATACAACCGATTTTAAATTTCACTAATGGAAAGCTATATTATCAGCGAGTAACATAGCCTACTTTTTACCGCCATAACCAACAAAACAAACAGCTGTTAAATATTATTTGCTATTATGTTATATAAGTTTAAAAACTATAAAATCAAATACACATATCGATTAAGTATTTGTCTTTGTCTTGTCTTTTTAAAAGACAACTCCCGCATTAGGAATATATCCTGTGTCGCGGGGGACTTTACAAACATACATGAAACGGACACAAAGAACACCCAGACTCAGAAGAACAATTTGTGGATCACACAAAGTGTTGTCCCATGTGGGGTTTGAACCCACAACACTCGGCGTAGTAGAAAGCGGCGTGGTGACCTCTTAAACCACTACGCCATCCGTGCAGTCAAAATTTAAGTGTGTATACTCCATAAGTAATAAATATATGTATGGTCTTTAAGAATATTACTTTTGCTGATGTAACAATTTACCTTAAAATGCGCATTATAATTGAATTTACCCAATAAACTAATCTCATACGAAATGGTCGTACGTTTTACTTTTAAGTAGGACATTTCAGTGTTTTGTTGATTTCAAAGTCTGTGACAGTATGTGTGAGGCATTGGTAGGCGACAGCGTAGACTTCTCTGCTATTCGCTGACGTGGCGCTTCCCACACGCTGATAACGGCCATACTTCCAAAGCCGTCAGACTATTAAACTGTTTCCTAGAGGCCAATCCAGAGGCAGATTTTTTTTTTTTTTACAAACCTAGGGTAATGTATACCATGTGTTATTCTTCCTTAATAATATAGTAAGTTAAGCTACAGGTATAGGTAGTTGGTTTCGTCTAAGTGTTATTTAAAAATCTCTTTATAAAATTGTTGTTCAGAACGCACCCATTCAATAATTAAGAAAGAAAAAACACTCACAATACAACTGATTTATTTTGATCGTAATTATTTTTTCGATCTACCCCATAGCAATTTCGATCGAAGTGACAGGTAAACTATCTATACATCTATACAAATAAATAAAATTGGAGTGTTTGTTTGTAATATTAAAATAACCGCTTTTTACTAAATGCATATGTATGTTTACACGGTACATATGCCAAAATAACATTTTTTACAATTTTTGTCTGTCTGTCTGTTTGTTCCGGGTAATCTCTGGAACGGCTGGACCGATTTCGGCGGGACTTTCACTGGCAGATAGCTGATCACATAAGGAGTAACTTAGGCTACTTTTTTTAGACTAGCTTTGCCCCGCGGCGTTGCCCGCGGTTATAACAACAAACGCGGGTAACACCGCGGGTATCAGCTAGTTAAAAATATAAGCATTGAGAGAACACGGGGTACAACTGCCTGTAAGTGGAAGCTATACAGGCAACAAGAGAGATGGATGCCCGATATTTCCTTCTGTCTCTGTTTAGCTAAGTTGCGATTGGTTACTTTTCTTTCGCTGCTTCTGCTAGGGTGACAGATAGCCTCACCTGTCACCCCCAGGCATGCGCTTATGGAGGACGGAGGTCGTTCTGCGACCTCCGGCGCCTGAGTCGCCTGCGGTACCTGGCCCGTCCCCGGGCCTGGCAGGCCGGGAGAGTCCTAAACCTCTCCCGGTCCCGCTCCGAAGTCTCCTTCGCGAGCATAACTTGCTCGCAGAAGGAGAGGACGGCAGACGTTTTTATCCCCTAGCGGTAGACAGAGGTGAATTTCGACTGCACGGATGGCGTAGTGGTTTAAGCGGTCGCCACGCCGCTCACTACTTCACTGAGTGCTGTGGATCCGATCCCCACATGGGACGACACTTTGTGTGATTCACAAATTGTTGTTCTGAGTCTGGGTGTTCTTTGTGTCCGTTTCATGTATGTTTGTAAAGTCCCCCGCGACACAGGTTATATTCCTAGTGCGGGAGTTGTCTTTTTAAAAGAAGAAGAAAAGAAAAGAAGAAGAATTTAACGTCCACGGTTTGTTGACTGTGATTTTGTCCATCTCTTTAGGAGATTTGAATGTCTTTTTTTTAACGTTTCTACTAGTTATTACATTACTAAACATAAATATAACACGCCCGAAATATAAACCATTGAGATAAAAAGTATATCTGTGTGGTGACGGATTAAGAATACGGAGTGTCACCACCCCTATTCATCCCGTGGGTGTCGTAAGAGTCGATTAAGAGAACAAATAACGCAGAACAACAGCACTGAAAAAAGAAGCAAACCCTATACCAACCCGTCTGGCCAGAGTGGTATAGTAGGCCAAAGCCTTCTAAGGAGAGGCCTATGTCCAGCAGTGGACTATTAAAGACTAGACTATTAAAATCACAATTTTCGGGCGATTTAAACGCGCTTATTCTGTGACGTCAGATTACAGAGACTCGGAGTCAACAACGAATTGTTTGGTTCACAAAGTTCCTGAAAATCAAAATTGTGAGTGATAAAATTAATTTATTACCGTCAGTCGTGATGGTGGATGCTGTGGAGATTTCGTTTTAGCCTTTACACGTGCTTGAACCGGATAAAGCAAGCAGAGTTTGTAAACATAACGTTGCTATTGTATGTTCATATCAACGTACACTGAGGTACAATACTGTTACAATTGAGTACAAATAATCTTAAATAATATTTAAACGTTGTAAATACATTCAGATGTATATACACTCCATTTAATCCGTGTGGTGACGGATTAAGAATACGTTTATTCCGTGGGTGTTGTAAGAGCCTACTAAGGGAGCAAACTACGCAGGACAACAGCACTGTAAAGCGAAAAAATACTTAAAACAAACCCTATACCAATTCGTTTGGCCAGTATGGTATAGTAGACCAAAACCTCTTTCTAAGGAATGGATTTTGTCCAGGATGTGACTGGTAAAAGCTGTTGATGATGATGAGGATAATGATTAATACTAGTACAAATACGTCTGGCTAGCGTTGACCAGCAATGGGCTGTTGATGATGATGATGTTACATTCACTCACGCCTCGTTCCCGTCCAGGGTAGGCAGAGATTGCACCAGGGACTTCCTTTCTAGGGTATACCTGGTTCCCCGGCTATTAGAACCCGAGACGGCGTGCGGTTTTAGTCGGTTCGAGTCCGACATGCCACCGACAGGTGGTATCCGAGGGGATTTCCGCACGGAAAAAAAAAGAAAAAAGGGTAGGCAGAGATAATAGAACACCATTTGCTACGATCCTGAGATACAGGTAGCGCCACTTCCCCATTCATTATCCGAAAGGTTAATAAGATCCAGTATATGGAAATGCATGCTCGCCAGTTACAGGTGCTTTGTAACCAGGTCCTTCTTAAATGATCTGTTCTGGTCAGTCTATTTTCGGGATCTGCCCAAACCAGCTCGTCCACTCACAGGGGCATTATAAACTCTTTTAGTCACTCGCATTTCGCTCATCCTTTTGACATAACCTAACCTTCGCAGCTTCCTCCATTATACAAACGTATATCTTAAAAAGCAATCAATCCACCAGCCTGGCAGTGGTGGTCTACACCATCAGATGAACCGTCAGTTCGTTGGCCCCCTATAGCAAGAAAAAGCCTATAAATTCAGCACTGAACATAAGCTTCTCCAAACGTTACCCTTCCGCATTTAATCTCCCCAGCTCCCTTTCTCAGGTCATCTCTCTATCTGGACAGGGTGCCCTGGCTTTCGTTTACCGATCCTACATTTATCGAGTGGCGCATAAAAAAAAGTTTTACATTTCTAGATTTTATTTTGACTGTCTTAAGACAAAAAAAAATGTTTGGTTTTTGAAACAACCCAATTATCGTAAAACAGCAGAAATCATATCCCTCTCCCTTTTCAAATAACCATAAATAAACCATTAACAAAACCGTAAAACTCTTCCGTTATTTATCTACAAAAAAAACTCCTAAAAAACGAACTGTTGTTTTTTCATTCAGATTTCTGCTCTAATGTACTAGTCTCACTATCAACCATTATTAGTTCCGCGGCCATTCGAAAACAACGTGCCGTGCAGTCAATGTGCTGATGATGAAGACTTTTTTGACCCTGGGACTATTAGCTGTGGTGTCTGCCAGCCCTACTTCCACCGGCAACAAGGATGTTAATGCACAAGGATATAAAGATCAATGTAAGATAACTTTGAATACGAAACTCTTGTGTGTGTGTGTATGTTTATAATTATTATTCAGCAAAACGTAGCATGTCCGTGTGGTGACGGATTAAGAATACAGAGTGTCACCACCCCCAATCATCCCGTGGGTGTCGTAAGAGGCGACTACGGGAGCGAAATACGCAGGACAACAGCACTGCAGAGAGAAGGAAAACTTGACACAAACCCTATACCAACCCGCCTGGCCAGCGTGGTATAGTAGGCCAAAACCTCCTTTCTAAGGAGAGACCTATATCCAGCAGTGGACTGTTAAAGGCTGTTGATGATTGATGAAAACGTAGCATTACGCAGGACAACAGAACAGTAAGAAGTAGACAGTATAAATAGACGGCCCGGTTGGTCTAGTGGTTACTAACTCTGAATGCTAAGCCGGAGGTAGTGGGTTCGATTCACACCCAGGACAAATAATTCATTTGTTCTGTGTCTGGGTATAGGTTATCTATAATATGAATGAATTTAGAAATATTTAAGTATGTTTATCAGCAGTCTGGTTACCATAGTACAGGCTCTGCCTAGTTTGGAATCAGACGGCCGTGTGTGAGATGTGTTAAGTTATTATTTTTATTATTTTCAATATGAAACAGAGTTTTCTTAAAATATTTTTATATTTGGATAAGAAGTTGGTTGAAGACACTTGGACCAGCGGGATTTGCAATGGATCAGGTGTTTAAAGGACAAAAATATACATACAGTATGCCTTGAACTACACGGATGTCGTAGTGGTTTTTTTAAGCGGTCACCGCGCCGCTTCCTACTGCGCTGAGTGTTTGTTATTAATACCATACCATACATTATTATCACAGATAGACCAATACAACAATGCAAGACTTACAATAAAAACAAGCAAATCTATGATAAAATACGTTAAAATACGAAAAAATGACAACATGATCCCACTGTTCCGATACCGCATTGAGCGCATGCAGCGCCCGCGTAATGGCGCCCGCTGCAGTAGATTGGTGCCGCGCCGCCGCGTCACGTAATCGTTGGACACACACACTGAGATCTCCTGCAGGATAGCTGGGTTGTGTATTGAGCTACGTAACACTTTAAATACGAACGTGGTTAAAGCTACTTCTCTCCTCACTTAAAACCTGTAATATCCCGCCATGCCCAAAACTAACAGTGTGGGATAACACAATGAATACCCTGGATACACACTGAATACCTTACAATTTAAAAACCTAATAAATTTATTTTGTATGCGTTCCAACATTACTTTAAATTTAATTTGATGTGGAGACCAGATAGAAGAATTATAAACAACAATTTGCGTGATCCACAAATTATTGTTCTGAGTCTGGATGTTCTTTGTGTCCGTTTCTTGTACATTTGTAAAGTCCCCCGCGACACAGGATATATTCCTAATGCGGGAGTTGTCTTTAGCAAAAAAAAAGTATAGGGTGGTATAGTAGGCGAAAATTTCCGTTTTAGCAGAGGCCTATGTCCAGCAGTGGACTATTAAAGGGTGTTGATGATGATTACGATACATCCATATACTCACACTTATGTATTCTAAGGAATAGACAGAGGGGTATTAAACGCCTGTATTTTGGTAGACTATAATTTTAGTCCCATTTAACTTATATGGGCTAAGCATATTGCCCTCAATTGGCATCTAAAGATTAGATTAAATTGCTAGTAAATTGAAAGTGATGGTAAATGAGAAGGGAACGGTAAAGGGTAAAGGGAATGGTAGCAGAAGGATATTTCTGTTACGGCTGGTGGTAGACAGTATGAGCGGTGGTCGAGCTATGTATGTCATTATTACATCAACAGCCTTTAATAGTCCACTGCTGGACATAGGTCTCTCCTTAGAAAGGAAGTTTTGGCGTACTATACCACGCCGGCCAGACGGGTTGGTATAGGGTTTGTTTCAAGTTTCCTGTTCTTTGCAGTGCTGTTATCCTGCGCAGTTTGCTCCCTTAGTCGGCTATAACGATCGATTGATAGCCCCCGAAACCCCCTGCATACTAAATTTAATGAAAATCTTTGGAGCCGTTTCCGAGATATATATATATATATATATATATATATATATATATATATATATATATATATATATATATATATATATATATATATATATATATATATTGTATATATATATTTATATATACAAGAATTATTCGTTTAAAACTATTAGACAAATACTAGCTATTGCCCGCGGCTTCGCTCGCGTGAACTTCCATACAACCGTTCTTCCCTTATTTTATTTCTTTAGGGGGACCTTGTCAAAAGTGTTGTCTTAGTGGATTCTTGCAACATAAAAGCATCAGCGGCGAAAATATCAAGTTTGTAGCCAAGCGGTTTAGGGTCTGAGTTGATGAATGTGATTTTATATGTATATTACTCGTATTATTTTATTTATACTTCCTGCAAATACATTGCATAAGGCGGACTTAATGCCATAGGCATTTTCTTCCAGTCAACCTTGGGGTGATGCAGAGATTTGTGTGTGGCAGGTGTACAATGAGATAAATTATTTAGATTGTAGTCGGTTGCAAGATGTTATACTACACAGATATACGGGGATACATATATAGATGCAAATATCATTTATACGTACTATATAATATTATATTATACATTAGCTAAAGTGTGATATAACTTAGAGTGTTTACCTATAGACCGATCACCGTGGACTAATATTTGAATAACCTAAGTACTGTTATTCAATTCAATTCAATCAAATTATTTATTTCGGTTATAAATCAACTTTATTTGATAATAGATACATAAGTATCTTTGTCGAATGTTATGTAAGAACAGTTTTTTTTTATAGAAATTAAAAAAGTCAAAACTTATCACTAAACTAACGAACCATCCCAGCTTCGTACGGGTGCAATGTAGATACCACTAATACTACTAATGTGGTGTCAGTGTGGAGTAATTAATTATACTATTACTAGCTGACCCGGCAAACGTCGTTTTGCCATATACATTATTTCTAGGAAATATTGAAAAAAAAAATAGGGGTGGGTCACCCATGTCTTTTAGGGGTATGAAAAATAGATGTTGGCCGGTTCTCAGACTTGATGTGCACACAAAATTTCATAAAAATCAGTCCAGCCGTTTCGGAGGAGTATGGTAACTAACATTGTAACACGAGAATTTTATATATAAGATATCATAATTGTTCTCTCTTATCTAGATTGCACAGATCCTCGAACGATGAGAAAACATGCAGCATACACGGAGTGGGCCGATGCGTATTCCTGCACCAGACACAGATGCCAGCCTGGTGGTAGAAACCTAGCGATATATACTGTGGGGTAAGTGCTGAAATACTAGTCAGTAAAGTTGGTTTTAAGGTCATACGATTAGATGAGTAACTGCTGCCCATAGACACCTCGAATTCAAGAGCCAAAAGTTCGTTGCCGGCTTTTCATATACTGTCCAGAATTAGAGGATTGGAGTTAAGCCTTCGGTAACCTCGTACGGTTGGTGAAAGCCACGAAAGCGTTGCTTACACCAGTTTTCTGTGAAACCGTGGCATCACACCACACAATATTTGTGCAGAAGCATAATTGGGACTACCATCGTCTTTTTTTCAATAGGAACCTATTGTAAATAATTTTCTCTTCGCAGTTGCAAGAGAGTGGAGGCGCCAGAATCTGCCATTGAATGTGAAGAAGTAGTAGAAGATACCAATATGCAGTTCCCGTTCTGCTGCACTAGACTTAGGTAACAATTCAGCACTAAAAGTATAAAAGAAGAATACCAATTAAACTCTTCAAGTGTAGTTTATCAAACGATTCCAACCCGCTTTACTTCTTGCAGAATCTATGCTATGGTAACCAGACTACTGATATACATACTTTTATATTTCTAAATACATGTATCTCTATACAAATAAATAAAATTGGAGTGTCTGTTTGTAACATTAAAATAACCGCTTTTTACTAAATGCATATGTATGTTTACACGGTACATATGCCAAAATAAAAATTCTTACAATTTACAGAAATTGTAAAAAAAATTCAGACAGACAGCCTGTTTGTTCCGGGTATTCTCTGGAACGGCTGGACCGATTTCGACGGGACGAGTCGAGTTCGAGTAACTTAGGCTACTTTTTTTAGACTAGCTTCGCCCCGCGGCGTTGCCCGAGGTTATAACAACAAACGCGGGTAACACCGCGGGTCTCAGCTAGTTTTAAATAAATTACACCCAAGTACAGAATAAGTGATCGCGGTCGTCACACAATATTTGTCCTGGTTGGGAATCGAACTCACGACCTCTGGCTTAGCAGTCAGAATCGCTGACCACTAGACCAACAGGCCTTTCTCTTTTCACAACTTGCTTTGATTCTTAAACATCTTAGAACTTTTAAAATACAATAATCTTTGTCCACAGATGTTTAGTTGTAGTTCGTGGTGAGGTATGGACTAGAGTGCTGGGCCAGCCGTGGGAGGTGCTGCCAGCTGCACCCTGGAGCCACATGTATAAGATGAAGAAGCCACCGCCTTCAGACACCACCTTCCAACCTAAGTATGAACATTATTCAGAAGTCAAGTTGATCCTTGTAGCATGCTCTCATTATCGAATACTTCTGTACCAACTTTTCAAGTTTATTAATAAAAAAATTCTATGTTTGTAACCTCCAAACGACCGACAAATTCTTGTTTTTAATTGGGAGGGTTTACTTCCCTTAAGGTACCATATAAATTTGAGGAAAAATACCAAGCAGATGATTAGAAATTGAAGAACCGAAGAATAGAGTTTATTGCAATTCATTAGTCGGAAAGACTTTAGGGTGTGGGATCGATTTATGAAGAACTTGTAACATTTTCCAGTTATATTAAATTATTCCCCAATTTCCAGGATTGCAGAACAAGGTCCAGTGTATGAGCTGTCAGAAACTGAGTCTGATACCAGCAATGCTGAAAAGCTGCCACGATCTGCGAGAAAACAGGCACCCACAGATAGTCCAGATTGCAACGAAGTGGTTCCAAGGTCTTCAGCAGCAGCTGCACCAGCTCCTGACATCGTGGTAAGCTTAGGCTATTTTATTGTTGTTACAGTGAGAAAAAAAATGCATGGATTGCCACGCCGCTTCCTACTGCGCCGAGTGTTGTGGGTTCAAACCCCACATGGGACGACACTTTGTGTGATCCACAAATTATAGTTCTGAGTCTGGGTGTTCTTTGTGTCCGCTTCAAGTATGCTTGTAAAGTCCCCCGCGGTACAGGAATATATATTCCCAATGCGGGCGTTGTCTTTCTTAAAAAAAATGTGATGGAACTTCCATACCTATCACTTTTTTATAACCGGCTACCAAAGGGAGGTAGTTATCAATTCGGATGATTATGTATTTTTTCATGTATATTTTGGCATAATTCCGTCATATATAAAGGATTTTCAAAATTATTTTTTGTTCGAAAGGGGTGTTATTCCGAAATGGTCCCATTAATATAGATCTGGTGATGAGTTTCGGATACAGACACCGGAACTCCTCAAACAATGACAGCAAATAAACCGCGGTTACTGCCAGGTTTTTAGTGCGTTTTGTTAGGGTTGTTTGAATTCGGTTCAACTTTTTTTAAGAAGGATTAATATAGTTTTTGGTTTGTGAATATTACGGTGGCAAACAACCTGCGTTACTTAAAAGTAAGGTAAATGACTACTGCTGCATACGACTTTGCTTGTTTGCCATCCCCTAGGTATATCATAAAAAAGGGTAGCTTACCTGTAACTTAAACGGGCTATTAATGGTGCGGCTTCTAAGTAAAAATAACTTAAATTACAAAAAAATATCTGTTTAGATTCACATAATTTGAGAAATATTTTTTAGTGTGGTACTAGTACAGGGGGGGTCGTCTACCCGCCGTAGATGGCCCTAGGTACGTCGGGGCACCAGGGATTTAATTTCTAGGGTATACCTGGTTCCCCGACTACTGGTACCTGAGATGGCTTGCGGTTATAGTCGGTTCGAGTCCGACATTGCCACCGGTAAGTGGTATCCGTGGGGATCTCCGAGGGAAAAAGTGTGGTACTAGTAAAACGAGTGGAGGGGCTCGTCGCTGAGTGATTAAAAAATTCTTAGCCAGATCATTCGGTGGATGGGTGCCCATTCCTGTTCTCCCTGTATCACCCAAAGGTTGAGTGGTAGAGAATGCCTTAGGCATTAAGTCCGCCAATGCACCAAAAGTGCATGATGTATAAATAAATAAATAAATAAAATAATAGATTGAGACCCCTCCGTGCCTCGAGGAGCTTGAGTCGGTGCTGGTTGCCATACATGCAATACCCTAGGATTAATAGCTCATTTTCTCAGAAAAAATTTTAAGAGCTGAGAAATTAAGGGTTTATAAACTACCGCCTTTAGCGAAGGCATCCCGTTCATGTAGGGTACATTGGCAAGAGTAAACACGCCATTGTAATTCCATCCTGCATAAAATAGTAGGGCTGTATTAGGCTGGCCGTCAGTTGAAACATCACAGACTTGTGGCCTCTGCATCACTACAATGGCTTCCAGGTTTTTCCACCCTAGCACCAAAGTCTATCTAGCTTGAATATGTATGTATGCGATTATATATGCATGCGTATAGACAAATAGAACTGTGTATAAATAGTAGTGATATACATAGTAAAAATATGTGTGTATATATAGATATTTATTTAGTATACGTAGGTATGTGTAGGTGTATTTGCTTAAAAATGTATTATATTCACATAATACCTTTGTGGGTTACGAAATAATATCTGAGAAGAATTTACCTTGCCGTAACACAGTCTTTTGACTAGCACGGGAGGGAAGACTTTATCGAAAAGAAAATATATACTTACTGTTCCTATAGCAATAAATAAAACCCTATCTATCTAAGCTTTAATATGAATTAAGAGTTCAAAATCTTAAAAATCCCTATCGACTACATATACTTTTTACGTTACTAAAGAGGTCAGCTCTTCAATTTTGGTCAACAGCCATGGGATAGCCATGCTTCGGCACAAACCGGTAATGTTACTGGAGCCAAACCCCTTCTCTTCCTCCGAGGGGTGGCTCAAAGTGGAGGGTGGATGGGGGATTTGTGACTCTTGAATTGCAGATGTCCACTTACCATCAGGTGACCCGTCTACTCGTTTGCCCCCTTTTTTTTCCGTGCGGAAATCCCCTCGGATACCACCTATCGGTGGCATGTCGGACTCGAACGGACTAAAACCGCACGCCCTCTCGGGTACTAATAGCCGGGGAACCAGGTATACCCTAGAAAGGAAGTCCCTGGTGCCCCGACATACCTCGGGCCATCTACAACAAGTTGACGACCCCCCCGTGTGAGAACCCCTTGTTCCCTCTGCTCCCTGGAAGCGAGCGCGCTTCGCAACGCGCTCGCCGCCACCCCGGCCTGCTTCTGCTAGGGTGACAGATGGCCTCACATGTCACCCCCAGGCCTGCGCTTATGGAAGACGGAGGTCGTTCTGCGACCTCCGGCGCCTGAGTCGCCTGCGGTACCTGGCCCGTTCCCGGGCCTGGGGGGGCCGGGAGAGTCCTAAACCTCAACCGGTCTCGCTCCGCCGTCTCCTTCGCGAACATAACTTTCGGCGACGGCAGAGTTCCATGCAAACTCGTTTGTACCCTATTCCATAAAAAGATAATTCTATATATAATTGACGACCGGATGGCGTAGTGGTTTGTGTAACGGACTACTATTCTAAAGGTCGCGGGTTCGATTCCCGCTTAAGTCAAACATTTGTGTGCATGAACTTTTAATGTTTGATTTAATCTGGTTGTTCCTATGTATAATATGTATGTATTTACAAAAAAAAAGTATATATGTATTTATATCAGTTGTCTAGTCCCCATAGTACAACCTCTGCTTAGTTTGGGACTAGATGGCGTTGTGTGAATGTGGTACAATATTATTATTATAATTGAATTCCCCATATGAATTTAGACATTTTCGTTCACAGATTGCACTTTCAACAAACAGCGAGAAAGATTCCCACTCCAAAAGGCCACGGGACGAGATGAACACCAGGTAAAAAAACTTCTTCTCTTATTTTCTCAGACTTCTATGCTACAGGCATGAGTAAGTGGCACTGAATAATTATAACTAGAGATAAATCACACACGACGCTCTGATCTGATACTAGATATAGCCTGTACTATGGTCACCAGACTGCTGATGAACATACTTATATATGACGGGGTGGTACGGACATTATCCTCAATAGGACCCATAGTTTCTCACTGTGCGCTTTTCGAGACACTTTTTGAACCGCACAACCAATCTGTGGAACTCGACTGTGGTATTTCCGGACCGATACGACCTTCAAGAAAAGAGCGTACTCCTTCCTAAAAGGCCGGCAACGCGTTTGTGACTCCTGAGTTGCAGACGATCATGGGCGGCGATGGTCACTTTCCATCAGGTGACCAGTCTGCTCGTCTGCCCCCTCTAACATAAAAAAAAAATACTAACTGCGGGCGTTGATGGTTAATGTTGGAGCAACGAAACAATTTCGGCTTTTAAAAATTGACTCCGTCAAGCGCCGACAGGTGGCGCTGGCGTTTCGGATATGACGTAATTGCGAATTATATTTCCAAAAACATACATATTATAGATAAATTACACTCAGACAGAACCAATGATGATCTGTAATTAGTGACCCTGACTGCTAAGCTAAGGTCGTGGATTCGATTCCCACCCAGAACAATTAATGTGATGAGCACGATCATTTAATTTTATTCTGTGTCTGGGTGTTATTTATTTATGATATGTAAGTATTTAGAGTATTAACCGTGTGGTGACGGATTAAGAATACGGAATGTCCCCACCCCTATTCATCCCGTGGGTGTCGTAAGAGCCGACTAAGGGAGCAAACTATATAGGACAACAGCACTGCAGAGAGAAGGAAAACTTGACACAAACCCTATACCAACCCGTCTGGCCAGTGTGGTGTAGTAGGCTAAATCCTCCTTTCTAAGGAGAGGCCTATGTCCAGCAGTGGACTGCGATAGGCTGATTGATGATGATGATGTATGTTTATCAGTGTTGGGGCTTCAAGGTATTTAAATAAATTATCCCAAGATCGATACAGGGCTTTATGTCCATATTATAGCTGGGTTTTACAGTTTTTTATGTGTGGCAATGCTGGCACGTTGGAAGGGAGGGAAAAATGATGTTTTAAATGTATAGTGTAACAATGTATGGGTAGTGATGCGACACGAATGACACGTAGAGCAAAGGCAAAATAATAATATTTAAAAAAAAAACTAACAAAACAAACACAATATCAATAGTAAAAGCACCCACGGTTTTTTTATTTTTTTATTTTAAATTAGTGTATTGTCATCGGTCCTCGATATATCTACAAAGTTTGAACGAATTCTGACCGTTTAAAGTCAGTCAAAATCACGCCCAAACAAACATACAAAAAAACATACAAGTGAAGCTAATATAAAGCGTGTAAAAAGGACACTTCTCGAATTGTCTCTGATTACGTCGAATGCCATTCAGGCCAACCATGTTCGAGTGCAAAATGGCGCGGTTATTACAATGTTAATGCGCGAGAAATTCAAAATTGGTTGAAGCGTTAACAGGGTTTCACATCAACATCAACAGCCTTTAATAGTCCACTGCTGGACATAGGCCTCTCCTTAGAAAGGAGGTTTTGGCCTACTATACCACGCTGGCCAGACGGGTTGGTATAGGGTTTATGTCAAGTTTTCCTTCTCTCTGCAGTGCTGGTGTTCTGTGTAGTTTTTTTCCCTTAGTCGTCTCTAACGACACCCACGGGATGAACAGGGGTGGTGACACTCCGTATTCTTAATCCGTCACCACACGGACAACAGGGTTTAACAATCAGTAATCTGGTCATCATAGTACAGGGTATGCCTAGATTAGGATCAGTTTGCCGCGTCCGACATGTGTGCAGTTTATTCTATTATCTTTTCATTAAAACAATAATTTAAATGCTTTGTTTTTATCTCATCGATCAGTGGAACTTAAACTCATGTAGGTTTTGGCTCCGTTTGTACATAACTTAAAACATATATTAATTTAACATGTTAATAATGTGTGTGTGTTTTAGACGACAAAGTAATGCAGAGAAATCAGGAATCGTTTGGCAAGATCAAGCTCACGACAGTGAATCTGATACTGAGTAAGTAAATATAATTTGAACAGAGTTCCACTGTATAAGAATTTAGAGCCAGCTCATAAATGCTTGGCTCGAAAGACCATTAAAGTTGAACGCCATCTAAGGCGATGATTTACAATATTGTATTTCTTATTGTGAGTTGTTCGTTAGAATACTAATAGGTGTAACTCTTAAGCAAATCATAACATAACATAATACACAACATCACATCACATCACAGCCTTTACTAGTCCACGGCTGGACATAGGCCTCTCCTTAGAAAGGAGGTTTTGGATACCTCCAAAACCTCCTTTCTATAATTATAATTAATGTTGTGTATTACCATACACAACATTAATTATTTATTATAAGTATATCGTTGTACTGCTGTTTGTCAGTTCGCTTTCTTCACGTGTTAAGCTGGATTTGGCGAAAATTTATCCTCCCGCACTAGGAATAAATCCTGTGTCGCAGGGGACTTTTAAAAACATACATGAAACGGACACAAATAACACCCAGACTCAGAAAAACAATTTGTGGATCACACAAAGTGTCTTCCCATGTGGGGATCGGACCCACAACACTTAGCGTAGTAGAGAGCGACGTGGTGACCGCTTAAACCACTACTTCACACACTTCGGCTCCTATTTGTACTAACGTGATGTTATGTATCCTGCCTCGATAAATGGGCCATCCAACACTAAAAGAATTGTTCAATTCGAACCAGCCGTTCCTGAGATTAGCGCGTTCAAACAAAATAACTCTTAAGCTTATAATATTTGTATAATTTTAAATGGTATATTTTTATAAAGAATGATTTAACCGTTAATACCAGACACAAAAGAATTCGTAAAACAACGGAGTCTTCGGTGCATAACTTCGAAAAAGAGGAAGAGAGGGAACACCGAGAGGGAGATGTACCGGAGGTAGAAGATAATGCTGTACCAACAGAGAAGACTCAGGTACGTGAATTTCTTGTATAAACTCATTTCTAAAAGGCCCGACTCCTGACTATGTGACTCCCGAGTTGCAGATGTTCATGGGAGGCGATTGTCATTTTGCATCAGGTGACCCGTCTGATCGTCTGCCCCCTCTAACATTAAAAAAAAGTCATCCCCTCTAACATTAAAAAAAAGTAATTTGGGTTAAGTTTTTGTCGATGAGACTTCAAAAGCGTGTAAGAGTAGTTTATAGTATAAGTGGCAAAACGAGCAGAGAGACAAAGAACATCATTATCATAACTCAGATGGCTTCCTTAGAGCGTACAGGTCGACCTGAGCTGCTCAAACTATTGCTGACACCCCCCATTCTATCCCTACAAGCGATTTACATTTCCGATACCCAAGGCCAGGTCAGTCTATAGATGGGTGATCATTCTTAACACATTGAGACCCCTAACCCCCAGGCCACATCAGTCTCGGTTGCTATACGGACATCTGTGGAGTAGCTGGGATCAGGGACAGTCTTTCTACAGAACTTCTATATTGCCTGGTACTTGGGTTGTGGAGGTCTGAGGGCAGTCGCTCCACGTAAAAAATCAAAATTCAGCCGTGGTAGACTTAAAGCGGACCCAACCTAGTTTGGAAAAAAAAGGAAGGAAGACATTTTCGATACCCATCTAACAAACTATACACTGTTTTCCCATTCACTTCCTAAAGTGCCCGTGTGACAGCAATAGACTTACCCCCTTGTATCTAAGTAGGAACAAAGTTATATTCGGCAAAATGAGACCTTTTAAATCGTCTTTTACCACCCTTCGAGGATATAGGCGTGAGTGCATATATTTTTATTTGAGTACAATTTATTTATCATTATTTAATAACACTGATAATTATTTAAAATTATTTTTTTCTTTTTTCCCGTAGAATCCAGAAGCATCTGAAGAAAAATTCTATGGAAACAGTTTTGTCCAGAAAGACCAACCTCAAAAACCTTCTAAGGTAATAATAATATTATAAAAATTACAATAAAAAAGGGACTATCAGTACCAATATTCCATTCGCTTTAAGAAAATAGTGACGCATCGACACCTGGCCAATCAGGTTCCAAGGAAATTATCGTTTGGTACGAAAGCTTGGAACTTGATTGGTCAATCGGGGCTTGATTGATTGCCGTGATTAGATTAAAACACAGAATGGACATAATTTATTTAAATTAATTACGATAGACACCATAAACTGCAACTATCATCATCATCTCAGACTAAAGACGTCCACTGCTGGACATAAGCCTTTTTTTTTATAAGTGTGGAAACCCCCTCGGGCCATCACCCCACCGGGGTTTACGGCGGGGTGGTGTGTCGGAATCGGACCGACTAAAACCAAACGGTGTGCGGGAACTGCTGTTATTAAGACATCCGGACCACTTCTAGTCGCGTCGGGCCCCCGTTAAAGAGACTCTCCAGCCCGGCTTCCTGCAGGAAGTGGTAGAGGGCATATTCCCGCAACGGGCTGGACAAAGGCCTACTCCGAGGTTCGCCACAACAACCGGTGTCCTGTAAGGCCCGCATCCAACGGCTTCCCGCGACCTTCACCATGTCGTCGGCCCACCTTGTGGAAGGCCTACCCCCGCTGCGTCTTTTATGCGGTCGCCACTCGAGTACTTTATGGACCCGTCGGCCATAAACCGCAATGAATATTAATTATTACTATTAGCTTGCTATTTCTTGAGTAAGTTTGTACTCTTATACCTACTTACTGTACTACAGAAGTTGAATGCAATCACACCGACTGGCGGCGGGTACAAAATGTCCAGTTATATCAAGAATAAAGCTCCCGAAGGTTCATTTCATCCTCATCATCCACAGCCTTTACTAGTCCACTGCTGGACACAGGCTTCTCCTTAGGAAGGAGGTTAGTTAGGAGGAGGTCGCCTACTATACCACGCTGACCAGACGGGTTGGTATAGGGTTTGTTTCAAGTTTTCCTTCTCTTTGCAGTGCTGTTGTCCTGCGTAGTTTGCTCCCTTAGTCGGCTCTTACGACACCCATGGGATGAACAGGGGTGGTGACACTCTGTATTCCTAATCCGTCACATCACGGAAAATTCATTTTATTTCCAGAGAAATCTCGTAATAACCTGTCTGCCTCAAAAACACTCTAGAACCTTCTAGAACAACTTTAGGTACTGGTATTTCAAAAGAACTCTTTTGATGTTTGTTTGCTAAAAAATCTAAACTTCAAACTTTGTCTCCAGGAAACCCACCACCGTGATACTGGTTTGACGGATATCCCCCAGAACCAGTGGAGCGAGCATGAGGGCATGGATGTGGAACCCAGAGCACACGTAAGAATAATGAATGACTAATATAAAACAAAATTGATTAACGCGCCTATTTCTATATTCGCTTACTAGGCCTTAGCAACCCCGCAATGATATTTTGATGCAGTTTCCACCACCTGTCAAAAGACGTCATAGAGGTGAGGGAAGGGTTTGGGTTTTCGTCACGTAGTGAATATATTGAATGGCAAACGCGCGCTGTATTAATCAAGCCAAATATGAGCCGAATATTTTAATTATCTGTTTGAAAATAATGATTTAAAACCAAATTTATAAATAACTAAGTAAACACTAGTGGAGGGGGTTTTTGGAGGGACAGACGAGGTGGACACATAGTATTGGTATGTCCCCTTACAGACTAGACAGCTGTCTATTCTCGTCTAGTAAGCTGTTTTTTAAATAAATACTTAAAAAACCATTATATTGTTGGACGGATCTTTGTAAGTAAATAATTTATTGCTACATGCTGTATGTCATCATCATCAATCATCAACAGCCTTTAATAGTCCACTGCTGGACATAGGCCTCTCTTTAGAAAGGAGATTTTGACCTACTATACTAATGCAGTATGTATTTTATAATATAATATAAAACAATCTTATGCATATACCTATCGCACTGATCAAATGCATTAATAATACATTACTGTAGTAAAAATTGTAACTCATTCGCTCAGTGTGCGCGCGCAATCGGACCAAAATGTAAAATCAGCTTATTAACATCGACACGAAGGAATTCGTACCGATTTGACGTGACCATCATTGGACGATTTGCATCCACACTATATAATTTGCTATTTATGTCTAGTAAAATAAGGTGTGTAGAAGTTTTATGGGGACTCCACATTGTGCCGTGAATTCTTTACGCGAATTATGCCGGCGAAGTTGTACCTCTCCAAATTCATGGCCGTTCGCGGCTCCACACATTGAAAGAAACCTGCCGTGAACTGGCCGTAGACATTGCAGCTGCAATAACTTTGTTCGTTGTGGCAACATTATATAATTATCACAAAATAGGAAAACCAGACGTTTTGCATCCTACTGGACGTGTAGTCACAAGTAAGCTCGCACGGCACCGTAAATATCGATGTGTACACGTGAACACCGCACGAACAAGCCGTAAAACCTTTGTCGCGGGACAGAATACCGACTCCGATCGGGGAATAGGCATCTAAAAGCCATCCACACTTATGGTTGTTACTGTTCTCGGAGCTTCACGACACAAGTGTGGAACGGCATAGTTTCAATCGTGAATGTTTCGGTCGAATATTGTCAGTCCTACAACGATCGTCGCCTTGACCGAACGTCTATAGAATGTTTCTTAGCAGATTTATTAAAAAAGAAACTGTTTTTGTATTCCGAATAGATTATTATCTCAGTGTCTTTTAATGTCAATTTGGAAACATGCGTTTTAATATTCGTAAGTGATACTTTATGATAAAATAATAAAATATGATAAAATAATTTTATTTTTGCATTGAAATATTTGTATTAATTTATATTTAGGTAATGGAGTTACGTTATACACAGGAGCCAGCCACTAGACGTGACTTACAGCCAGCAAGAGAACCAGAGCCAGAGAAAGAGAGAAAAGAGGAGAAGCATGAGAAATCTAGTAACTTACAGGCTTTAGTAGATGCTATCGGCTCTAGAATGAAAGATATAGAGAACGTGGTCCAAAAAATGAGTGAAAAGGTTCATCAGACCAAGAGCCCGCTAGGAGCAATCAGCTCGGAAAAGAGGTAAGAATTTTTGTAACTGGATTATTATAAGTCGAGGTTTATAACGTGAACTTAACACCCGCTGTAACCCAAAAAAGTTTTTTTATGATAGAGGGGACACACGTGCGGCTAGGTCACATGATGGGAAGTGACCACCGCCTGTTACTCAAGAAATACAAGGGCAATTACGTTGGTCAAGAAAAACAAATTCATCCCTAATTTTCATATGGGAGATGTACCCTAGGGCTTGTTTAATACCCACATATACATACGTATACAAATTAACTTATCTGTAGGTCATTTACTCTCTGTGAATATAATGGTAGTTCCACTTACGTAATAGTAGTGACGGATTAAGAATACGGAATGTCACTACCCCAATTCATCCCGTGGGTGTCGTAAGAGCCGACTAAGGGAGCAAAAAAACGCAGGTCACCAGCACTGCAAAAAGAAGGAAAACTTGACACAAACCCTATACCAACCCGTCTGGCCAGTGTGGTGTAGTAGGCTAAATCCTCCTTTCTAAGGAGAGGCCTATGTCCAGCAGTGGACTATTAAAGGCTGATGATGATGATGATGAATAGATAGGCTATTGCCGTAAACGGGGTACTTTACGGGTTAGGCTTAAGTATATTGAAAGGAAAGGGAGATAAGAGGAGAAGGCAATAGTCATCATCATCAACAGCCTTTAATGGTCCACTTCTGGATATAGGCCTCTCCTTAGAACGCTGGCCAGACGTGTTGATATAGGGTTTGTTTCAAGTTTTCCTTCTCTTTGCAGTGCTGTTGTCCTGAGTAGTTTGGTCCCTCAATCAGCTATTACGATACGTGAATAGGGGTGGTGACACTCCGTATTCTTAATCCGTCACCACACCTAATACCTGACGGTGACGGATTCATCCCGTGGGTGTCGTAAGAGCCGACTAAGGAGGTAAACTATACAGGACCTGGACCCGTCAGGCATGATTATCTTGGTCGGAGGTTCCTTGCTGTTGAAACAAATCCAAAACGTCGGTAACGCTCTTGTGATTCTTGAGTTGTAGAAGTCACTTACTATAGAGTGTTTTGTTTGCCCTCCCCCTCCCCCCTATCTGAACATGATATTAGTACGTTATAAATTTAAATTTTATTAAACTAGCTTTTGCTCGTAGCTATGTCGGATATCGCGGTAAAAGGTTGCCTATGTTACTCGCTGATAATGTAGCTTTCCATTGGTGGAAGAATTTTAAAATTCAGTTTGTAGTTTTGGCGTGAAAGCGTTACAAACACACTCACTTTTACATCTATACTAATATTATAAAGCTGAAGAGTTTGTTTGAACGCGCTAATCTCAGGAACTACTGGTCCGATTTGAAAAATTCTTTCAGTGTTAGATAGCCCATTTATCGAGGAAGGCTATAGGCTATATATCATCACGCTAAGACTAATAGGGGCGGAGCAGGAATGAAGAATGTTTCAAAAACGGAGAAAATTTATTACTATTGAGAGACGCAGACGAAGTTGCGCGGGTCAGCTAGTTGATAATATGAGTGTGGATGTATTTCAGGCATCCATTAGTGGAAACAGATTTCAGTAAACGCCATAGAGTGGATCTGGATAAAGTGGTGAAGCCGAAACACGAACAAGAACATGACAGCGCAAAGGCTGGAGAGGATCATTACAAGCCACGGTGAGTTCAACTTTCCTATCTTGCTACTATTTTAAGGCGAGAGTTTGAAGTCATGGACACTTGGATAACTCGGCTTCAGAGAAAACCGCGGTTAATGTTAAGAAATTCTTTTTTTCTTTTTCTTTTCAATAAGTTGGTGAGGTTATCGGGTGACCAGTCGGCTGCGCATTTCCGTCTTTTGGGTTGTAGGTATTCAATAATAATTGGTGACGGATTGAGAATACGGAGTGTCACCACTTTTAATTATCCCGTGGGTATCATAAGAGCCGACTAAGGCAGCAAACTACGCAGAACAACAGCACTGCAAATAGAAGGAAAACTTGAAACAAACCCTATACCAACCCGTCTGGCCAGCGTGGTATAGTAGGCCAAAACCTTTCTAAGGAGGGGACTATGTCCAGCAATGGACGTTTAAAGGCTGTTGATGATGATGAAATATTGTAAGTTACTAAATAAAGCAAGAATAATTGATTAAAAAATTGAGGAAGATATATATTTGAAATCTGTACGTTTATTGGCAAAAAAAGGAAATTTAGCAAAAGAAAGGAAGCCCAACACCACAATTGAAAATCAATCAATCCGGGATAACGCCAACATAAGAATTTTCTAGAAAAAATAACTTTTTGGGCTTCTGTGAAACCAACAAACCTTTCCCCAAAAGTAGGAACATATATATAATTACTCTAATCATATTTAATGACATCAGAATCAAGATGACTTAAAGAGAAGATTCGTTTAAACTAGTTAGTCTAATTCTCGTGATCCGATAGTGATATAGCTCGGGCGACGACTTTGTGATCAAGTATTTACAGGTTCCAACCCGACCTAAAGCACCACCAAAGTAAATAGACTTCTAAAACAAGAGATGGGTCAAAAAACTATAAGTAATAATATAATAATAATAATATAATATATTCTACCACATACACACAACCCCATCTAGTCCCAAACTAAGCAGAGCTTGTACTATGGGTACTAGACAACTGATATAAATACATATATACTTTTTTTTTGTAAATACATACATATTATACATAGAAACACCCAGACCAAATCAAACATTAAATGTTCATGCACACAAATGCTTGAACTGAGCGGGAATCGAAACTCGCGACCTTTGGAATAGCAGTCCGCTACACAAACCACTACACCATCCAGTCGTCAATAATATTAATAGGTACATGACCCTCGTTACTAATATTGTTTTAAATACAAGCAGTAGCAGAAGCTGCTAGAGGTAATTCTATCCCTTCTCTTTCTCCATTTTAGCAACCTTGTGAGTACTCAGACAGTTTTTCTTTTTCAGTGCTCACAAGGTTGCTAACATGAAGAGCCGACGCGGCAGTAAGCACTCCTCAAAACGAAGACCGGTCTACCATCACGATGTCAGACTTGATGTAAATGACGTTCGTTCTTCCTCCAAAAGCGAGCAAAAGGAGACGGAAGATGAGAAATCTAAGCATTCAAGGGTATTTCTAGAGATTCCATTAGTTCAATAAAAATAGTTATATAGTTAAAATTGTATTATTTACACTTACGCCCTTAGTAGGGAGTAGGCACCGGGTAATCAAATATAGATATTGATAAGGGGAATTTACCTATTTAGAGAGAGAGAGGTTGCTTTTATGGAATGCAAACAATATGTCAAACAGATCAGGGTCATCATGCACTAAGCAGTTCGCCGAAAGCAGTTAAGCTGTAGGACATCTAAGAGAATGATGTGACCAGATCCCCGGGTCTTGAACTAGGGAAAAGACCGGCTTGATCACCTACAAGAAGTGTTCTGAAGGAAAAGGCTTAAAATAAGCCAAAATCAAAAATAACATTTACCACCTCTTTTAACAACTTTATTTGAGCTCTGTGAGGTCTTAAAGCCAATGTGTAATATTGCAGAATGGTTTCATAATGCTGCTAATTTTGTAATCATTTTCAGACATGACAAAGTTAAATTGCTTTATGAATAGATAGGGCGAGAAAACTAGGATCATCATAAGTCGTGGATGTCATATGGGCATGGACCTTTAACTGCAGGAATTTAAAGACAGTAGGGGCGCGATTGTCCGTCCTGTGATCGAAAAGTCCGCTAAGACAGGAACCTTAACTGACCTTAATCCAAAAACAATCCTCATTCTAGGAGTCTTTTTCCCAAGCTAGGTTGAACGACACGTCTGAACTTAGATTACTTGCGTGCAGCAACTGCCATCAGAACTCCACAACCCAAATTCTAAGCGATATTGGAGTTTAGTCGATAGAATGTTGTCGGGCTGTCCTTTATCATAACATAAGCAAACTTGGGAAAACCGGTGCGATGAGTTCATGCGTATTTCTCAACGCCTATCTTGACAACGCCCCCCAGAACTGTAACGTAGCTTCTTTAATTGGATTAAATCGAGTAACTAACTAAGAAGCCACGAAATAGGGAGATAGACAGAATATAGTGTTTGGCTCATCTAGTATCTCGTTCTTAGCTGACTTTGGGAAAATAAGGAATAAGGGAAATGTATTTCAAGTTTTGGAAAAAAAAAACATTTGTTTTCTTCCGTCTATGGTTTTTTAATTTACTTATTAAATGAAGCATTTCAGGCTTGATTTTACATCATATGTACAATTTGTAATCTTTTTTTATAAACTAGGTTCTTAAGATGGCGGATGTCATAATTTGGCAGTTTTTTTTATGTTTGTTGTCTCAGAATTCCGTTATTTATGAACCGATTTGAAAAATTGTTTATACTAATTTGAATACTACCCGTTTGGTCCATTTCCCATATTCTAAGAAAAAGTTCCGCCCTTAGGAAAAATTCATCAAGCAGAATACTGATTATTAAAATTCATGATGTCGTATTGACTCTAAAATATTATTTTCTATTTAACAGCTTCGCTATCAAAGGACACGGAAGCAAATATCTGCAAAGCTCGACAGAGCCCACACAAGAACAGCCGTTATTTATAGAAGATAATGGGAACTACTTCAGCGATGCTAGCAATATTATGAGAAGGTCCAACAATGTACCCAAGGTAACTGCTTTTTTATTAAACACAAGCATAAAGCCTTGATACAATGGACATACCATCCGCGTTAAGAAAATAGTGACGCATCGGTTAAGCCCTGTTTACTGACCAATCAGGTTCCAAGCTTTCGTACCAAACTATAACTTCTTGGTATCTTATTGGTCAGGGGGCGGGTCTTGATCGTTATGTCACTATTTTCTTAACGCGAATGAACTTTGTGTGTTCTATGTGTTACTCATAGTGGTGTGCCGGATCGACAGAAATATATTTCTGCGGATACGGATTGCCAGAGTCTAGATGTGGAAATGCGGACTTTAAGTTTCTTCTTAAAATAGTAAAGATATTATTAATATTTCGTAGAGAATCACAGACAGCTAAGATACGTTACTATATCTTCATATAAAAAGGTTAAATTCACACATCTTATCAAATTATGTAGAGACTCATCATCATCATCATCATCAACAGCCTCTAATAGTCCAGTGCTAGACATAGGCCTCTCCTTAAAAATAAGGGTTTGGCCGGTATAGGGTTTCCTTATCTTTTGGAGTGCTGTTGTCCTGCATAGTTTGCTCCCATAGTCTGGTTTTGGGTGGTGACACTCTGTATTCTTAATCCGTCACCACATAAAACTTAGAGTCTGTACTATGGTAACCAGACTGCAGATAAATCTACTTATCTATTACCAACAAACATACTTATACTGTATTACTCAATATATATGTACATATTATTAATAAATTACATCCGGAAACATAAAAAATGATCGCACTTCTCATATAATTATGTGTCCTGGGTGGAAATTGAACCTGGTTCCCCGGCTATTAGTACCCGAGACGGCGTGCGACATGCCACCGTGGTATCCGAGGGGATTTCCGCACGGAAAAAAAAAGGGTGGAAATTGAACTCACAACCTCCGGCCTAGCAATTAGGGTCACTAACCACTAGAGATTTAGTTTTAACAAAAGAAATCTACAATATTAATGTGATCCACCAAAACGTAACGGATAAATCCGCATCCGCACATCACTAGTAACTTGCACAAAGGATCTAGTGTCAGATTATTTTACTTCAACTTGATCGCCACGGTGTCCGTAGTCGAGAGCGACGTGAAGAATCAACGTTGCAATATCTGATCTGTCACCGTGACAGCTGTCAGTGTTTTATTTATGAAACAATATTACAAATTATAATGGCTACATCACACACACATCAACAGCCTTTAATAGTCCCCTGCTGGACATAGGCCTCTCCTTAGAAAGAAGGTTTTGGCCTACTATACCACGCTGGCCAGGCGGGTTGATATAGGGTTTGTGTCAAGTTTTCCGTCTTTTTGCAGTGCTGGTGTCCTGCGTTGTTTTGCGCCCTTAGTCGGCTCTTACGACACCCACGGGATGAATTGGGGTAGTGACATTCCGTATTCTTAATCCGTCACTACACGGACGGATATAATGGCTAATACAATACTTTTACACGCAATAATATGATTTTAAAATATTTGTTATGGGTTCTTGTTTGTAATTTATTATTAACCATTACAATGGTCTTCTTTGAAAAATTTTGCTTGTAAACCACCATTCTCGTACCTAATGTAAGTCAACTGTAAAAAAAATGAAATTAACATAAAACACGGTGGTTTTAATAATCATACAGCGCGTTGTATGATAACATTTAGTGTCTCATATAGGTAAGCGTAGATAAACCGACCTTGCCGGCAGAGAAACTAACCCCTTAAAGATGATTTCTAAGATAAAAACTATCCTATATCCTTTCCCGGGATTCAAACTATCTCTATATTAAATTTCATCTAAATCCGTTTAACGGTTTAAGAGTGAAGACGTAACAGACAGACACATTTTCGCTTTTTGTAATATTAGAATGGAAATATGAATTTACAGATAATACCTTGTCTCAGCAAACTTCACTTAGCCAATAAAAGCTACGTTGATGTCACTTCCTGTGGCTGCACTAGCACCATATTAAACGATATTTAAGCGCTATTTTAAACGATTTTAACTTAAAGTTCTCAATTCGTTTGTCCTTTTTTATGTTTGTAACTTCAGAACACTTATTTATGGAGTAATTTGGGATGGTATACTTCCTGTTTGGTTCTCGTTAAATTTGAAAGAAAAAACATCCACTAATAGTTGAAAATTAAGGAAATTACTGAAAAAATTGCATCAAAGACAGTTGTCCTTTTTTATTTGTAGTAATTTTTGCCATTGGGTCCTCCTTCTAAAGACAAAAAGAATATTCTCATTTAGATCAATGTGTTAATAATGTTCACCCATCCATAGAGTGACCCGGCTAAAATAGCTTAACTTCTCAACGTGTTAACCTACTCGGTTACCAATGAGCCCCTCTAATAAATGTTTTCTTCATAAAATTATTATTACCCTAAAGCACATGACTAGAGAAACATAATTTTTAATCTGTAGTGATGTAGACAGTCGATATCGATAAATAATATTAAGAGTTTTAGACCTAAATCTTTTTAAATACCATGAGCTTTTTAAAGTTACACTACAATTTGATTCAAACATACTAAATCAACCTATTACGACTGTCTAAAGAACACTATATATGAAATTTGACAGAACTATACTTCGCATGCTGCGGGTGGGTATAGGATAGCATATATCAACGTGCAACAACCCAATCCCGCCCAAATCCTGGTTCTATCCTTACAGGGTGAGTTTACGTCACTCGATTCCTTAAATAATGCGATCTATTGCTGCTATCAATCATTATCAATTGGCCTGATGCAGTCCACTATGGGATATAGGACCTCCCAAGGCAATAGTTCCCCAATTCTGAAACTCAACATTGGTAACTTTTTATAGAATAGGTATATAGTTTTAATGTTAGGCAGCATATTCATCAGCAATAGATCCACACGGTTTAAGGGAACAGACTAAACTCACCTTTAACCTTAAAATCCCCTTTATTAAGTATCAATTTATTGTAATACTCTTTATTAAGTATATTTATTAAAGAAAGAAACTTTTTTCGCTGTGCTTAATTGAATTTTCAAAACACTACAACTATCGTTTTGACAGCTATTATGACTTTCAACTTACAGTTTACAAAAGGAGAAAACCATATTAATTCTTGTATATATACCTACCAATAAATATCGTATCAGACAAAATATTAATTGTAATTTAATTGCTTTTGCGCATAATTACGAATTTTAATAAAGTGTATCAGTAATCTTATAAATATACATATTATTATATAACGTCATTATTATTGTAGCATACTCTACAATATCTTTTTATAAACAAAAAATTTTTTTCGCCAGGAGCCAGCCCAAAGCGCCCTAACCTACATGGCGCCAGTAGAGACTCACCACAAGAGTCCAGTTCATATAGCAATGGTGTCAGACAACTCAGAAGACCAAGAGCGGAAGAAGAAGAAACACAACCACAAGAAAAAGCGGAGCAAGTCACATACACATAAGAAACATCAACACACGGAGAAAAGGAAGCATTTTAATAAGCTAGCGTCCGCTGAAAATGACAAAAACACAATGTCAGCAGAAGACAGTAGCGGTTTGTTAGCTAAATAGTTTATTAGCTAGAATCATTGATAAACACGGGGGCACGAATTATATTTAGTTTAGTAAACATTCTATACTTATCTGATTGTCTATTGAGTTTTAGTAACTTTTGCTATTTTGGTATAGACAATTGTAAATATCGATATGTAGAGATGTAAAAATGGACCCATCACTAATAAAAACTGTAACTGTCAGTTAAAAATTAAATCTTTAATCGTAGTTTTTAATGTAAATTAGTTATTCTATTAAGTCAGCATTATACTTGTTTCTTGTCCGCGTGTGCTCAATGGTATTTCTAGCTTCAGGGGTTTGATAAATGGCTGAACGTTTGACCGATTTAAAATTGCCACATAAAAAAATAATGTATTCATCTGATTTATTTCCTTAATTGATTTTTTAATCGAATTTTAATTTTTACATCAACGAAAACTGTTTAAAGATTAAAATTGTAATTATAGGTAGAGGCTTAGATCATTTATATGTTAAGATATTGACTGCATCAGTGGTGCAGTAGACTGCTGTGCTGAGGTCTCGGGTTCGATTTGTTGATCTGCAAATATTTGTTTCGGAGGTTGGATGTTTTCTATGAAAAAAGAGTAAATAAGAATTCTATCAGTCAATCTAGCTTTTGGCTAGCTCGAAGCTTAGTTTGAAACTCGATGGCGTTGTGTCAGATGTCCGAAATAAAAAAAAAATAGTTGGTGTTGCACTACGAAATAAATAAAATAAAATGGCCAACGTTATTATGTATATGATCGTGCAAATCTATGCTTTTATTCTAATAAATCGAGCCTTTATAGTGACAAATACAGTTGACATCTATTTAGAAGCCAATCTAGACATGTCAATGACCTAATCTATACAAATAAATAAAATTGTAGTGTCTGTTTGTAATATTAAAATAACCGCTTTTTACTAAATGCATATGTATGTTAACACGGTACATATGCCAAAATAACATTCTTTTCAATTTTTGTCTGTCTGTCTGTCTGTTCCGGATAATCTCTGGAACGGCTGGACCGATTTCGACGGGACTTTCACTGGCATCACTACTTTTTTTAGACTAGCTTCGCCCCGCGGCGTTGCCCGCGGTTATAACAACAAACGCGGGTAACACCGCGGGTCTCAGCTAGTGTGTTATATATTTCTTGGGTATGGACGCATAAGTTTAAATTAATATAGTACCTACAAACGGGGACCAGCTAGAACAAATACCTACCATATTTTGATAGCTGGTTGATTGGTAAAAAAATGGCTAGCCATTTATTGATAATACTTTGTTTGATTTTTATAGCAAATAAATAATTTTAAAAATATGTAGTGTTTTTTTATTGAATTTAATTCACGAACTCCGTATACCTTAGGGCCGTGGGAGAGTGATGAGAGCTTATCCACAAATGGGCTGGCCCGATCGGAGCGTCACCACGGCCTCGCAAAAAATCGTTGTTGGTTTCCATCGAGTGAGTGTGTTGCGAAGCATGGCTCTCTTATCACACTTTCTTTTCATGTTATTTCTTTTAAGATAGAGGGGCTAACGAGCAGGCGGGTCACCTTCTTCTTATTCTTAACGTGTCGATGACAATTCAAATTGAGTCGGTCCAAAATTTGGCGACGAGTTCGGCACTTTCAGTAGCCTCCATCAGTTCCTGTGATGTGCAAGTAACAGGACAGGCTGGACACGATATCAAGTGCCCCATAGTTTGTGGGGCAAGACCACATTTACACTCCAGAGCAGAGTCATCTATGAATCCCCACCTGAACAGGTTTTCTTTGCTTCGGCCTACCTGTGTCCGGAGTCTGTTTAGAGACTTCCAGGTCAGCCATGGCAACTCCAGTGGAAGTGACTACCGCCGCCCATGAACGCCTTCAAATCAGGAGTGACGTAAAGCAAAATCGACTTATGAAATAGCTAGATGAATATCGTAAAATAATATAAAATTTATTTATGTAATTAAGCTCGAGGAAGGAGTGGGTACGCTCTTTTTCTGAAGGTTTGAATAACTGGAGCCCAACCCCAGCTCTACCCAGACTCTCGATTGGAGGTCAAATCATCTGTGGCTCTTGAGTTGTACAGATGCTTAACCGTGGCCAGACTCGACAGGAGTGATACCACGTAGTTTTGTTGTTGCTTTTCATCGAATGACTGAGGTTACCGGTGACCAAACCAGCCCCTCCATCTGATTCTGGGGTGTCCCATAGGACGGCAACGCACTGTGTCTCATGAAGTGTCCTTAGGCGGTGATAGTCACTTATCACCAGGTGACACGACTGCATGTTTGCCCTCTATGCATTACAAACAAAATGTCCGCGGGTATCACTCATTATTAACCCAGATAAGCCTGAAAGTATTAATTTCCGAAATCATTTATTGGAATATAAGTAAAAGTCCCATAGTAAAGTAAGATGGTATTTAATTTTTTTTTTTTTTTTTTTTAAAAAGACAACTCCCGCATTAGGAATAAATCCTGTGTCGCGGAGGACTTTACAAACATACATGAAACGGACACAAAGAACACCCCAGACTCAGAACAACAATTTGTGGATCACACAAAGTGTCGTCCCATGTGGGGTTTGAACCCGGCGTACAACACTCGGCGTAGTAGGAAGCGGCGTGGCGACCGCTTAAACCACTACGCCATCCGTGCAGTCAGCAATAAGGAAAGCCCTAAGCATGTCCGCCGAAAGTATTTTTTCGAGAACGAACCACAGACTACTATCTGTCTACCACTAAAGTGAGCACAGGGTATATATTAGTTTGCCATAGACTAAATACACATTTAATATCCAATATCATTGATAAAATAAATATTATTTGATAGGTCATAAGTATTGTAAAAAAATCTTGAAAGAAATTTCACCTGTAAGGGAAGTTTCAGGGAAACTGGCGTCCTATATGTAGGACAATAGGTAGTATAAATAGGAGTTTAACAAATCAACATTTATTCGTAGAAAATTAGAAATAAGTATACAAAAAGTTAATAATCGTAGTTTTAGTAAATGCAGATTACAAAATAATCAAAACACTTGTCGCCACTGGGATGGCCCTGCTATCGACACGGCGCTCCTCACGCTGGCAGAATGCCTGCCGTGGGATGAGCAGAGGCATGTCCTAGTGGCGCCATCGGAGTAAGAGTTCTCTTGCTCGGTACCATGATTGCGGCCATGGTACGGAGCGAAAGCGCGTGGGACTCGTAAGAGTCGACTAAGGGAGAAAACTACGCAGGACAACAGCACTGCAAAGAGATGGAAAACTTGACACAAACCCTATACCAACCCGTCTGGCCTGCGTGGTATAGTAGGCCAAAACCTCCTTTTTAAGGAGAGGCATGTCCAGCAGTGAACTATTAAAGGCTGTTGATGCTGATGCAGTCATGCCTAACGGAGTGAGGGATCATGGCTTCATCTACACAGTCTACACTGTATTGTTCTTCGATAGGAGAAAATTAAATAAAAAAGGTTATTCAGCAATCTCTAATTGGTCAAAATTATCGTTGATATGAATGTAGCGAAAAATAAAATCTAGCCTATCTCTGGTCATAGCAGCTTAGAGCTTACTAACTCGTTGTTTGTATCAGGAGCGTTCTCCCAATACATTCACACGTAGAAACGTGAGAGCCATAAATAACCACTGACTGACTGACTAGTAAAATACCAAGAAGCATTCGATATCTGTTACACAAATAATATCTTATATATTCTGAACCATCATAGAAATTACGCCATAAAGTTTTCGAACCACTCGATGGCATGTCTTGCTTGGCAAGGTCTATTGATCTGAGGTACACCACTGGAGATATACGTCCCTGTTTCTCCATTCATAAACTCGTCTGCGTTTTTAACCGACTTCAAAAAAGGAGGAGGTTCTCAATTCGACTGTATTTATTTATTGGAACGAAGTTCCTTATCGCGCGTTGTGAAAGGGGGCTAGACGGAAAAAATTCTTACGAAAATTGGTCACGACACTTTTTGCTATAGTAAGCTATTGTAAGCTGTGCGGCGTCGCATAATTCTCTGTCTGTCTCTCTCTCTCTTATAGAAAGCAAGCCAGATATTTTCATTTCTATCTTTTTATGTCTGTCATTCAGCGCCATCTATCGAATAGATAGGAAATCATTTCTCAAGGAGATTTTACCAATGTATAAATTGTTTTAATTAGAAACCAACTGAAAAATATGTAGGTAATAGCCGCTTTCATGGATGACGTTGTAATTAAAATGTGTCTAATCAGTTTTACTCGATCGTCACAACTTCGTTCCTATCGGGTGTCCCACGACACCACACGGCTTTTTTTTTTAATTGACTCGCATTATGTTCTTTTTCAGTACAAGTCACAGGTGACTCACCTTGTATTGATAGTTCTGCTGGTTGAAGTAATTAGTCTTCTTCTTCTTCTATTTAAAAAGACAACTCCCGCATTAGGAATATATCCTGTGTCGCGGGGGACTTTACAAATATACATGAAACGGACACAAAGAACACCCAGACTCAGAACAACAATTTGTGGATAACACAAAGTGTCGTCTCATGTGGGGTTTGAACCCACAACACTCGTCGTAGTAGGAAGCGGCGTGGCGACCGCTTAAACCACTACGCCATCCGTGCAGTCATGTGCAGTATGTTTAGTAACAGGTTGTTGTCACATTATCCCCTTTTCCAGAATATTCATTAGGTGGTAGAAGCATATTACTCTTTCCCTGTAACCATCTTCATCGTCAGGAATATTTTCCAACGCATTTAAAATTTCATGTGCCCTAAGGGTCTGAGTCTCGGGTAATCATACTGTCCTATATGTAGAACACTATTATTTATACAGAATTATATCTCAACTAGCTGACCCGCGCAACTACGTCTGCGTCTCTCAATAGTAATAAATGTTCTCCGTTTTTGAAACATTCTTCATTGGTGCTCCGTTCCTATTGTTCTTAGCGTGATGATATATAGCCTATAGCCTTCCTCGATAAACGGGCTATCTAACTCTGAAAGAATTTTTCAAATCGGACCAGTAGTTC